CATCCTTTAGTTCATCCAAACTGCAGTCTGTTTGAACGTAAGTGGAGACTGTGATAGGAAAATGACGAGTAACGCTGTCCTTCCTTCTTCTAACGGACCTGTTCAAACGGACCGCACACATACGACTATCTACTGGGACTTTTCCGCCCTAACACTCACTGCTATCCCTGTAGGATTCTTTTTGTCCTACAGATTTAGTCCCTCCTCAATACTGACGATACAGAATCTCGGCTTAGCTATAGTTAAAAACAGGATGACTTAACTTTATATCTGTTTCTAAAACATAAAATAAACCATACAATTACACCAAGAAAAATGTACAAATCCATTGTCATTACAAAAATAGGACAAAAACGTACCGAACAGTATTGTAGGTACGGACAAAATGAACAGTCAATTAATTACATGTATATACAAGTAAAGTGACAGACAAAAAAGAACATTCAAGGTCATCACGTGGTGAGAGTTACAATAAATTGGCCAATAATCGCGACAAGAAAGGTCACATAATATTGATTGGCTGTTTATCATACAGTCTATCTATCTGTCGCGATTAACACTCCCCGCGAACGACCACCACGTTGACCTTTCGTACGCTTCTTATATCTTGTTCCACTTCTTGAGTTGAAGTTTTCAAACACAGTGTCCTGACGTGGCCATCTTGGTCATAGTACATCTGCCTAACTATAGCCTTTCGCCAGAGACCTCTCTGTGTTTCAGAACTGGTAACTAAGACGAGATCATCAGGTTGTAGGTTGTGCTTTATATCCAACCACTTAGATCTTGTTCGCAGCATCAGATATCCGCGTAGCCATTTATGCCAGAGCAAATCAGTCAAATATTTTGGAAGTAGTTGACTATAGTGTTGGAAGAAAGCATATCCATACATAGCATTCTCTTTACCTTTGTAATATTGTAATTTTCTTAAGAATTCACCAATTGCTGAACGAGCCGCAGTTAAAAGTCCTTTTGAATCCAAGGAAATACACAAATCAAATGCATCGTCCTCACCGACTACTTTATGTGTACGTCCCATAGAATCGTCAGCTTCAATCAAAACTCGCAGAATCGCATAACAAGCACAATAATGTGCTTGACACCATGATCCAATGTCATCAGCATTTTCTGTCGGAGAATAAAACTTCATGGAAGTTACTACTGAAGGAATCATTGACAACCAATTAATATAGACTGCATCTGGGGCATTGTCTTGAGCACAGTTGGTATTCAGACCGAACTGCTCCAGAACAAGAGGTAAATCAGATAAATAAATTCCAACGCACTCAGCTTGACACTTGTCTATTGCAGATGAAAGGTTTGAAAACTTGCTGTCATACGTTTCTCCTGGTTCACACCAACTTTTTACAGGACCTCCATTTATGACATATTCAGTAGTTTTCCTGTGGAAATTTCGTTTTCCATAACAATCACACCAAAACAGTTTACCAGAACCATATGCCATCAGTTCATGAAGTCCAACTTGTAATTCAAAGGAACTTTCAGCATGTTCCACGTACATTTGTTTGTCTTCATTACGTAGAAATTCTGGTTTAGGATCCTCGAGACGAACACTAAGTACATTATCCAAAGAAACATTTTTAAATCCATCAACTTGTCGTACATCATCATAGTTAGGAATATTAGTTCTAACAGGAATTCCAGCAGTTTCAAACGTCGCTACATCCAAACTAGTAAGGTCTGGCTGTAAGAAATTAACTTTTTCAAACGTATAAGGCCATGGTAAACTTGTTAACAACCTTTCAGCATTATTTACAAGTCGTTGGAATTTTTTAGACACTGATCTATTGACAACTGCGACAAATGATTCAAACCTTGCACGAACACCAAAGGGATCACAGGATGACTCTATAAACCCAATGTAGTTTTCAACAACAGGGTTCTTATCTTTAACCCATAACCTGAAGGCATCTTTGTGAGTGGCTAATGAGCCATTAGTGAAGCTTTCAGCATACTGATGCCACATTTCTGATTCAATTTGGTTAAGCGGATATGCTTTAAAATCTTTACAACAATCGACTAGTAACTTCATCAGCTCACTATAGTCACCATATTCAAGCTGCAAAGATGTGTCCAAGAGAAGGGCATCTCTTAACTTCTCACGACGTTGACTTAGAGGGATTTGCAGGTCATGGTAACGTTGGGCTAACTGTCTCTGTTTTTCTTGGATAATAGGAGCGTCGAAATGACCTTCTGCAGCAAGCGTGTCAGCCTGGACTTTGAATGTATCTATACGTTCACGATGAGCAGCTACATCAGATTCAAGCAAGTTGTGCCGCTTTTGTGCGTTGATCACACTGTTTAGATCACGATCGACATTCTCTGAGGCTATCTGAGCTTCAACATCATTCAACCATAACTCGACATCTATGTTGCGAGCAAACTGTTGTTGCCTACTTGCTTGATCTAAATTTTTCTTCTTGTCTCCCATGGCATTTACGAAATGAGACCAAGTTTCATCCAACTGTTCAATCTTTACTTTTATTTCTAGTGAGTTGTATTGGTTTGCATTTAACAAATCCTGACCTGTCTTTTTAATATCTTCGACGCGGGATTGGTTCGCTTGTATTTCTGCCTCAAAACTCTGATGCTTCTGCACCTTTGTTTGCAAGTTCGTGGACTCTTTGTAACTTTCATCAAGTGCATTTTTAAGTTTTCCTGATATCCATGACTGCATTTCATCTGCATCTCTATCGAACATTTGGTAACGGTGGGAATCTTGAAGATGCTGACGGCGGTTATGAGCTTTCTCTTTTAATGCATTTCGTCTGCTTTGAAGACCTTCCTGAATCTCATGAACCTGTGCAGCCGCATAGTGGTTTGACTCGATTAAGTTTGCAGCGAATTCACCAAGTTGTCGCATCTTTTCTTCTTGGGCTAGAAGCGACTTTTCGAAGTCTTCATGTTTCCTTATTAGTGCTTCCACAGAATCTAATGAGTCTCCCACATCTTTTATTTCTAGGAGGGCCTCTTGCTTACCAATCCAAGATTCCGACTGTTCAGCGTTGCGGTAAAAATACTGAAGGCCCATACACTGTTCTAGCTGTTCACGTCTTTCCTCACACAACTGCATCAGGGAGGCTCTCTCTCTTTCAAGGGTGGAAAGTTTAGCAGCTATGTCTTCACTACAGGGATGGCCAACACTTAGTAATGCCTGACCTTCTTGCATGCGTGCATCGAAAGTGTCAGCTCGAAAATTTATCTCAGAGGTGTATTCCTTATGTCGTTCTACTTGGGCTTCAGCACCAGCTACATCCTTTGCCAAATCATCTGCCGATATTAACGCCTTCATGTTATTCATCCAGATACTCAAGTCTCTCCAGTCAGCCAAAAAGCGATGCATCTTGAATGACTCTTCCAGTTTATCTCTCCTATCTACAGCCTGACTTTTCAGCTTATCCCATGCAGTAATTAAGGCGTCATACTTGCCTTGTATAGTGTCTTGCAAATCAGGATGCTTCTGTGCAAGCGCCTTAGCATCGTCTCCAAGTTGAACAATCTTTTTATCTGGGGCAGTCAAATCCCTTTCTAATGCTTCATGCTTCCTTTGTAAGGCTTGGACTGAAGCAAGATCATGACCACAGTCCTCAATGGATAAGGGAATAGACTTTTCATTCACCCACGATATAGCTTTATCTGTGTCTCTAAAGAAGCACTGTATCTCATAGGCTTCCAGGAGCTTTTCTTGTCGTTTTCTAACCAGATCCTTCAGACGTTCTAGAGCTTCGCGGACCTGTCTGAACTTTTCTATGACTAGGGCATCCTCAGGAAATTTCTCTTTTAGAAGTTCATCTGCCTTCCGATAGATGTCTTCGACACGACTTTCTTGATTCTCGAGATCTTTTGTAAACTCATTAAACCCTTTTTGAAGTGTCTCAACATCTTCCAAGTCTTGACCTAAATCCTCTGATGTTACGTAAGTTTCGTTTTCACGTATCCAGAAAAGTATTTCGTCGACTTGGCGTAAAAACTGGACAAATTTAAGCTTTAGGTTAATGACACTGGATTTTTCTCTGAAAATAGCCATAAGCCTTTCCCACAGGGCATGCAATTCATCAAGACGGTTTTTGATAATATCTGTTGCGTAGTACCCCTGACCAATCATTTCTTCTGCCGCATAATCCAGAGCTGACAGTGTTTCAGCATGAACTGTTACTTCTAACTCAAGCTCTTGATGTTTCTGTTTTTTCAGCTGAAGATTACTGAGTTCTTTAAAATCCTCGTTTGCATAGGTTTGCAGTTTTTCATTGATCCAACACTCAAGTTCATCAGCATCCATCTTAAAATATTGATATCTTTTAAGCATGTCTAGAAACTTAGATATGCCTCCAGCGAAGTCATCGTTAAGAGATACAGAGACTTTATGAGAAGTAGAAGGTTTGTAAAGCGATTTATTGTGACAAGAACATTCGCGACTACCTTGTCGTAATCTTTCTAATTCCATTTCTTTCTCCTTTTGGACTATGCGCAATTTCGCTAGCTCCAATTCTACCATATAGCGTGATTCATACTCGTTGCTTCCAAGGAAATCAGCTTCATTACTCTTTCCTAATTGTGGAGTTAACGACGGCATAGTTTCATAACTTTCATCTGACATACTGTTCGAAACTTTGTAGGATTATTTTTGTCCTACAGATTTAGTCCCTCCTCAATACTGACGATACAGAGTCTCGGCTTAGCTATAGTTAAAAACAGGATGACTTAACTTAACTTTATCTGTTTCTAAAACATAAAATAAACCATACAATTACACCAAGAAAAATGTACAAATCCATTGTCATTACAAAAATAGGACAAAAACGTACCGAACAGTATTGTAGGTACGGACAAAATGAACAGTCAATTAATTACATGTATATACAAGTAAAGTGACAGACAAAAAAGAACATTCAAGGTCATCACGTGGTGAGAGTTACAATAAATTGGCCAATAATCGCGACAAGAAAGGTCACATAATATTGATTGGCTGTTTATCATACAGTCTATCTATCTGTCGCGATTAACAATCCCTGCACCTTCGAGTCCTCGCGAACTAACTGAGGAGTCTCTTGGCACCTTTAAGATGAATTTTGAAGATCCATCTAGTTGTCCGGGTGGGATAAGCGAGTAACCACACCGGTTTTGTATGGGTGACTCCGAAACACAGCATACATCCATGACTCGAGATGCCAGAGTTCTTGCTAGTGATGCCTGTTGTCCAAATTTGGCAGAGGGTCCTGACGTTAAATGCTCCAATATGAAGTTGGTGGCGTGGCTTTAAGAGGTTCTCGGTAGTGTTTTCTGACTCATTGTTATTTGTGGTCACAGAATGGAATGAAGGTGACTGACTAGCCTGCAGAATAGTACTGACAAAAGTAGGGAAGCAAGATGATGAGGATGACAGGGATCAAGGATGATCAGGGTATCTGGTAGTCAGTGATGAACGGTTTTTATACTGTGTAAGGTGGTTCACTAAGATCAGAGTTTGTAATTTAAATCAAAGTAACTGCAGTGGTGTTTAAATTTAATATCTATTACTCAAAAGTGGTCTCACTTACTGAATTGTTACATACTTTGTCTTCAGAGTTCTCAGTTTGTACCTCCTAGTATAATTTAGTCATTATCCATAGTATGAACTGATGCCCAATGAAGGCGTAGTCTTCCCTTGTCATATATGTATATATATATATATATATTCAAATGTTTGTGTATTGTTTTCTTTTTCTCCAGTGTAAATAATGAACGGTGTCACTTTCAATCATAACGAGCCAATGGCTCTGGGATCTCCTCCAAGTGGAACCACATCTCCAATTGCTTGTCAGTATCTTCCAGGATTTCTCATGAGTGAAAATCCACAGATGGCAAATGCACAATCAACTGAATCCAAGATTCCACGTCAAAATCCTGTTTCCCCTCTGTCTGGGAACGCATATAATATGCTAGTGAGTTTTATAATTGCCTAATTACACATTTGATAAAAAAAAGCTGCTTTTAAAATCGATATCTAAATCACAATGAACGTCTGTATAAATCGACTAGGTTTCAAGGTTTCGCCTATTGTTGGAAGTTGACATTTTTTAAAATACAGAATCAATTTTTGTATATTCGGAAGTTTTATTCGCATTTTGAGACTAAAGTTGTAGAATTCTTGGCGTAAAAAGCGAGTCATAATTGCAATGTTTGTTAAACATATCGATCCATTACCAATGGAAAAGTGCAGCTTTGTCTAATGTAGTAAGAATGTAAAGAAAATTAAAGGGATGGTCAAATGAAAACATGACTAGTCTTTTTTCAGCTGTATTGTGTAGGTGTTTGTAGTTGGGTTTTGCCTGACAACGCTGATCAAAGTTTGAAGTCTTTAGATAGTTATGATGTAAAGTAAAATTCACTGGTGGAGGTTTACTTGCGCTCTGTTTTCATTTAATTCTCCTTTTGTTATACTTTCTGTTTACTCTTATTTCCAAGTTTTATAACTGATGTCCTATTTTTAAAATTCTTCATTCTCCACTTTGCCAACGAAAATAAATTACAACGATTTGAACTACTTCCATTATGGGTAAATTTTATTTTGATAAAGTTTCACAGTGTTATACAGTAATGTTTACTGATGACGTTTCGAGCACAATTTATTTCTCATAATCATAATCATAATTTGGATTACTGTGTACTCTAACCAGTTCTTGTATTTTTCTGTATCTGTGCATTTATCTTCGCTTCAAGTTCTTGGTCTTGAATAGGTTGGAATTCGTTGCATAACTATTAGAAATTGATCAGTTTGTATGACAACTTGAACTGTTGTACTTCTGTGCAAAGTTCTGTATTGAAACTCACTTAATCAGTCAGTCAGTCAGTCGTTTTCAGTGTACATTTAGGACCACTTTTTCTTTATGTGCGGCTGTGGATTCACCCTGTGCGTGTGTTAGACATCTTAGACTTTCTATTGAAAGACATAAGACTAACTAACTTCGGTTCGATTTTGAGTTGTTCACTTAAACTAGATGTTAATTTTATTGAAGGTGAACTGACTGTTTCATATGTTCATATTTCAATCGTAGTCATCTATTAAAATCTATTCTGTTATAATTTGCTTATTTACCATCCTGTTTAGCTGATTGAATTGCGTAAGTTATGCTTACAGACTAAAGCGAAATTCAGTAGATAGCAGCACTTTTACATTTTGGCATGTTAAACGCAAACACAAACTAACAATAAGACTAATCATAGTCACGTCATAAAAATCAAATTAATAAACCATTTCTAAAGTTTATCCTACTTTACTGTAACCTATGGGCTTTGTAAATTCTATGTGCAGCCTAGAGTGTACAAAGTGTGCTCATATTGTGACTAGCAGTTCAGGTAAAGCGATGCTGATACTAGACTGCTAATGCTGTTACGTTGTTTACTGTAATGGGTGGTAGGAGGATCGGTTGGGGAGGGGAGGTTCACTATTTTTCTCGCTCAGTGAAACTTATCTGCAACTTTAAGTTAGCTGACGTTATCTAAATGATCTGAGCATGAATCTTGTGATACTATGAAATCCTTTCCTATAGTGATAAAAGGCTAATTTTTTACCTGGCTTTCTAGCCTGTACACTTCAGCTTGTGGTGAGAGCTGTCTACTAGCCAAATTGGTAGACAGTAATTTACGTCAATATTTACGTTCCCAAGATTTGTCGTGAGAAAATGTCAACAAAGATTGATTCAAAACCGGCCACAGCAGACTTTGCGTGGGCGGATGCAGTTAACATATAGATGATTTGACATTCAAGAAGCAGTCACAAGTAGATGAAAGATTAACTTTACGTGAGAAACAACCAATCGGAAGACTGTGTTTGTTTACTTAAATACCCATAGTAATGTACATGCAAATATATATAAATATGCGTTGATTTCCTTAATAAATGATCTGTTGGCTGACTCTTGCCTTCTGTCGTTACAAGCTTACTACTGCAAATTTTCTTTTATTTGTCTGTAAAGCTGTAGCCTATCGCTGTTCAAGTCGTCTGTGTCAATCAGTAGGTCTTGGGTTCTAAAGTCTAAACATTCAGTAGGATATTATGACTAGATCTTATACCTGGTGTGTTTCAGAGTTGAATCTGTAAAATTTGATCGGATTAAATACTACTGGCAGTCAGTCAGTTCTCATATTCACTGTGTAAACGTGTAGAGTAGGAAGCTATTCATCTCTGTCGAAGATATGACCTCTTCAAATAATGATTATTTTCTATAGTTTGATTTGTAATGGTTAGTTATGTTTTTACGAGTTGATCACGGATTGATATCAGTTGTAGTGCCATTGAAAACCAGGGAGTACTAGACAGCTGTTTCATCCTAGTTTGGGAATCATCGGCAGTACGCACCCACTGGGATTCGAACCCAGGACCTTCCGCTTACAAGGCAAGCTGGTATACCATTCAGGCAATGGGACCCGATTCACTGGCTCATGAATTGTTTAGTAGAGTCTTTAAGACCACTTGGTCAATGAATAAAACCAATTTCTTCTGACTTGGTCTTCGTTGGTCCTTAAATCAGATATCCCGGAACACTATGGTATGGTAAATACTTTATGCTAAGCATTTAAAGGGGATATACTTTTTGGGTTTGTACTCTTTTCTTTCTGCGATAGTTGATTTTGTACTTTCATTGCATTACTTTTAGGCTCCTCAACATAATGTAAATAAACTGCAACCACGATATATGAGCCAACCGCAGGATACAATTGCACGTCGTTTAACATCCCCTCCAACACGAAGTATGTGGTCGTCTGTTAATGCTACCGGTGTTCTTGCTAAAAACACTTCAGACAATTTTGGTGGTGTTAAACACAGCACACCAGTAAATCCATCAATGAAAAGGTTGGGCACTGCAAGTCCATTCCAATCACCCGGTGATCCAAGTTTCCATCGTACTCCTTTGCATAATATTGGAAATAATTCTACATCTTTCATTGGATCTCCGTTACACAATAATAATAGTGTCACAGGAAATCCAAATGATGGTTTGGTTAATAAGCAAGATGGTTTGATAACGCCTAATCGTTTAGCTGAAGCACTGCTTACACATCAAAGGTAATTATTGAGTCTTTCATATTTACTCTTAACATTCTATTGCCCATTAACAATTAAGCTGACTTCGGACTGACTTCAAACTCTGACACCATTGAATAATCAATGCTGTATGGTAATGATTTAAGGTTTCTACAATGCCATGGATATGCGTTGATTGCTTTATCTATGTCATCAATTTATGTTGCTTTTGTTGTAAAGTTAGTTTTTATACCTCTTTGTCTATTTGTTGCTACTGAGGTTGATTAAAAATAGCGGAAAAATGACCTATGTGTTAATTGGTTCCGGATTCTGTCTGTCTGTCTGGATTCAACATAGAACTTGGCACCAAGGTGCAGAAGTTAGAGTTGCCACGTTCCAAATAGTACACAAAGGTAGACAAGAAGATGAGTGAAGAGAATCAATAGAGTTTTGACAAGTATAAGAGTGAAACAGAATGAATAATGGTAGAAAGGAATATGAAAGATTACAGAGACTGAATACATCTGCGCCATTGACAACGATTTTGAGCCATGTCGCCTATTGTCTCCGTGCTCGACGAGGTTGTGAAGTCATATCGACTGAGATGGTTAGGACATCGCCTTCCTCAACGGTCAATGTTAGCTGACATAGGATCAGGTTGGAAAAGAGCTAGCATATGGCGGTCAAACCAGAACATGGTTTTATCAGTCAATGAAATACACAACAGTTAGTTTAAGCTAGTCGCGTAGGGAGGTGTAGACTTCCTGGTTGGTGTTCTTGGGATGGTAAAAACCAATGGTTGGTGATATGGCTGGACATCGTTCTCAATGGCGCAGATGCATTCACGCTGTATGATTTATAGTATCCAATAAAATTGTTTTGTCCTTCCTTATAATAATAATAATAGTAATAATAGTAATAATTTTGCTTTATTCCAAAAACAGTATTAATGATAAAGCAAGGAATTTTCAGCATTCAGTACAATATTGCATCTAATTTACTCAAAAACGACAACAACAAAAAATAAATAAACGAAATAGTTAATACATAATAATGATAACAAAACGTTTTTATAGCAGCTACGTAGCAATTACAGTATACGATAAGGAGAAAAATACGCATAAAGTATAAAATTATAGTAATAATAGTAACAATAACAACTAAAATAAAAATAGCAAAGTTATAATTAAACGATAGAAAGGGTGACACCATAGAATTACAGAAAGATGAACAATGAAGGGGTCAATTCACTGTGTTAATTACATAGTAACTTATATGTTTCACGTCTAACAGAGTCTTCATCACATAAAATACGGGCTAAATACGATATTGTAGAATTTTTGTACTTAGTGGTACGAGCACATAATTTCTTATATTGACTTCTCGTTCTACCTGATGAGATACAAGGGGATAGTTGTGAATAAAGAGGGTGCAGAGGGTCTGACAGTACGGCCTTTGCCCAATTTGTACAGGAATTTATGCGTTTCTCGACTATAGTATTGGCGAGCTCACGCAGTGGCAAACCACAAGCCCTACTCACAGCATTTAATACCCTTCGTAATATGACATAGTCTTTTTTAAGAAGCCCAGGAAAGATTAATGGAGAACAATAGAGTACAATAGGTAAAATACAGGAGTTTAAAAATTGCAGAACTAAAGGTTGGTTGGTACCTTGTTGTCTTAACTTTTTAATGTAGAAGGTAAGACGAAACATTTTCTTAGAGATCAATAAAATGTGGGATGACCATGAAAGGTCAGAGGAAAGAACTAATCCAAGGTATTTAATGCTTGACTTGGTTTCAATTTCTGTGCCATCTATGCTACAGGCATCATGGGAACTAACTAGTTCATGTATGTCACGTCGATGCTTGAAGGTAAAGTTAACTGCTTGACATTATCGTTTTGCCTCAAACTTCTGTCTATTATCCCTCCTTTTGAAACTCTACTTCCTTTTTTTGCTTTGTGTGCTACATGCAGGGAGTGTGGCAACTCGAACTGCTGCACATCTTTGCAGACTTCCATATTGAAACCAGTTAGTCAGTCAAGCAAAAGTAGTGTGAAAACACTCGATGTGTAATGCACACAACTTACAGTTTGTTTATTGCGTCTACATAGAGCTCCAATATGGATGAAATTTTATTTTGATGGAGCTGCCAGTTGGTTAGTGTGACAGATTTGTTTAATAACTGTGTCATCCTAAAAGGTAAGTATCCAGAGATGAATATAAGAGGATAAACAGTTCAGTGAAGAGTCTCTTTTCGATGAATTGATTCAGTCTAAAGATAAACTGTCGCATTTGACCACTTCTATGTGTATCTACAAATTTCATTGTCCATGTAAAGTGAGACATACAGGTTGTTCGATGCGTGTTTTATCTAAAAGAGTCAAAGAACATTACCCCACTTGTCTATGAAAAGGTATTAGTAGATCAATATAGAGTGCTCTAAGTGTACATGTATTCAACACCAGTCATTCATTGTGTGAGGAGAATTTATTCAAATTCATCTATAAAGTCAAAATGAACCTCCCGAAAACGGTAAGCTTCCGTATACTTTGCATTGCTGAGGAGGCCTTAGCAATTCGGATGGAAAACCCTATGTTTTATGTACATAGAAGAAACTTCTCCATCCGCTTCTTCTACCCCTTGGGTATAACTCCAAGTTCGACTATTTTGTTGTGAATACTATTTTGTGAATTTTTTGTATACCGTTGTGGTAACATCTTTTTTTTAGCTAACCCTATTTTTTTAATCTTTTTACTTACTACATAATTTATTCTGGATACTTGTCTCCATGCTGTTTCATTAACATCCTATTTTTCTGGATGTTTTTAATGTTACGTAAACCTATTTAAGACTTACTAATCTTCATTCTCCCATCCTCGTTACAGTCTGATTACTCATCACAGCTTTTGAAATATGCTGGTAACGTAAACAATAAGCCTAACTAGTTTTTATTCTTATCTGACGAACCTAATGTACCAACACACATACAGAAAAATAATTATATATATATATATATATGCGATGGTAGCGGCTAATTGAGTGAATTCACCGTCGACAAGAGACTCTTCGCTGAATTGTTTATTCTTCTATTCATGTACTAAAAGAGGTTAAAAATGATTAAGTAGTAATCAAATTAACCTTCAGATTGAAGCCTGAGTTTGAAATGGTTCTATTAACTGAAATCATTAAGTATGTAATCTTAATTCCATTGATTAATATTCCAACATCTAATTATATAAACCTGTATTGAATGTAAATAAATTCATTTTACTGTTCTTGATTCATTTATTTATTTATTTCACTCACAGTTTCAACGATAATGATTCTGCAAATCTACACGATTGTTGGGTGACTGTTTTTGGGTAAGTCTGTTGACTATTTGAAATATATTCCATTTTCAAGTGTTGGTGGTTTGCAGCGATAGGACTGGTTACAGGATTTCATTATGAGCTGAAATAGGTTAGACAGTCATTGGAAAGCCAGTACTAGAGTATTGGTCAGTTGTTTCGTCCTAGTTTGGGACTCTTCACCGTGTGCACCCACCGTCAGAGGTCGAATCCAGAAACTTCTGGTTACAAGGCGAGTTCATAGATGGCCGTTAAGCCTCTGGGACCCGACCCAATGGCTAGTCCATGAATTCTAACCTCGCCTTGTAACGGGAAGGTCCTGAGTTCGAATCCCATTGGGTGCGTACTGATAGAGTCCCAAACTAGGACGAAACAGCTATCCAATACTCCAGTACTGGTTTTCAAATGCTCGTCTAACCGATGTAAGCTCATGATGAAATCCTGTAACCAGTCACAAATCCCTGTGTTCTAGTGGGAAGTCATGACCAATGGGGTATAACGGGTCGGATGTGAGGACAAATACTGACCACCGATGATATTGGCTAGTGTGCGCGCTATGTAGTTCATTCCATTTTGTTTACTGTACTGATAAATATATATGAAGTGTTATTGATAGGAGTGCCTTGATAACTGTTTTCAGTTCTTTATAAGAAAGTGTCTTAGATATCTTTCTGAGGTTGTAGTTGCTTGGCTGATTGTGAAATCGTCTTAGAACTTTTATTGGAAGTGAATGGGTCACCACGACTATAAAGAGGTGAAATCTATTATTATTATTATTATTAAGTTAAATTATGTGACAGTTATCAGACACCGGGAATTTAGTAACAATGTAGACTGTTGTTCTTCCACATTGTTATTCTTTATCCCTCACTCACACTTCTGTTTATTATCTCGGCTTTGATGAATCTCTGTTTACTCTCTTCTCATGCTTTGTGTGGTACATGCAGAGAGTGTAGCAACTCGGACTGCTGTACATCTGTGCAAAGTTCTATGTTGAAACTAGTCAGTCAGTCAGTCAGGCAAGGCATTTATCGAAAATATCGACTCTTTGCACTTTATGTCAAATTTGTACTTCTGGTTGGGGGGGGGGGGACATTACTTGTTCGCTCTTACTTCAGTTTGGTCGACATCTGTCCTTTTTGACCTTCAATAAAATAATGGATTATGCAAGTGACTTTGTAAAAATGTTTTCTTCTTAACACTGTGATCGACGTTTTAAGAGTACTGTAGTTCCCGATTGCAAATTTGTTTCTTCAGAACTAGTAGGTATCAATGCTTCCTTGGATATTCTTTGCTCAATCTTTTCTTCTTCTTCTAACTGTCAAAATGGAAATTTTCACGATATTGAAATCTTCCTCGGATAATCGGTGGTGGTAGACAAGTGGTTGTGAACGTACTTGTAATGTTTATCCTATTTCTTCTGTTTTGTCTGTCCAGCTACGTAGAGATTTCATCATGGACTGAAAGGATGTCTGACTTTTATCAACTGATACCAGTTGTTTTACGATAATAATAATAATAATAATAATAATGATAATAATAATAATAATAATGGTGCGATTTATTCCAAAACTGTACTTGTGATACAGAATGGAATTCTCAGCATTTGTCGCAATATTGCATCGAATTATTTACTCAAAATATAAATAAAATTTAACGACAGGTACCTTTCCATATTTTCAGTGGGAATAATATCAGAAATGTGCAAAGTATAAAATGCGAATAGTAACCATGACAATAATAATAATAATAACAATAATAATAACAGTAGGTTTGTTTAAAACAATATTGTCATTACAGTTTGTAGAAATCTTGGCATGTTATTCAGTATTGAATTTAATGTTCTTTTGACATAGCAGCATAGTGGGTGGGGGGGGGGTAAACGAAAAATAACAGCTACTACAGAGCTTAAATGGTGTTTACAAAAAAATGAGAGGACTATAAATATAGGAGCAATAATAACAGTAAGAGTTGATGGTATAAGGACGAAGGAAATTGTTTATTTACTAGTGGAAAGAAAGTTAGTTAATTAGTTCGTGCCTGATACTATTTCCATCACATAAAATACGTGCACAGCATGGTATCGTGGAATTTTTATGCTTAGACGTGCACGCATAAAGTCTCTTGAAGTGACTTCTTGTTCTACCTGAGGAGATACAAGGTGAAAGGTGAGGGTAAAGTGGATATTGACAGTCTGACTAAATGACTTTAGCGAATTTGTTGCATGAAATCAAGTGCTTATCAATGACGATGTCAACGACATAGCCCAATGGGATACCACTCGCCCTACTGACAGTCTTCTGAGTTCTATGAAGTGTGACACAGTCCTTTTGAAGCATTCCAGGAAAGAATAAGAGGAAAGAATAAAGAAGAATAGGTAAGATGAAATAGTTGACAAATTATAAGAGAAGGGGTTTGTGGAGTTATGCCTAAGTGTCTTAACTTCTTAATGTAAGGAGGTAGACGGAATATTTTACTAGAAATCGCTGAGAAGTGAGAAGACCAGGATAGACCAGGCGGAAAAATGAGTCTAAAGTACTTAACGCCAGACTTGATTTCTGTGTCAGTATTATCAATTTTGCAACGGTCGTGGGAATTAACAGCTTCACATAACTTTCTTTTACAGCGGAAACTGAATTTAGCAGCCTCACATTTGGAAGTTTAAAACCATTTGATGAAGACCCGTTTACTAACTCCTGATAGAAAGCCATTCATCTTAGTACAGCCTATCTGGAAGTTAACAGGCACTGAGACAGTTAGATCGTCCGCATACTTAGTAAAGTTCTTTTCATCAAAGTGAAGCAAGTCATGCAAGAAGAAAGGAAACAGAAAAGGAGAAAGAAGAGCACCTTCAGGGACGCCAGCCGTAGTAAGCAATGAATTGGACGACTTCCCCTGACATACAGTGTACTGCTTTCTTCCTGAGAAATAAGAATGCAGCCGTTTGACAACTCAACACTCATTTTGAGTTTCAACAAGCTTATTTAACAAAATATCCCTAGGTACCATCGAGTGAAAAGCAGATGTGTCTAAACTAGAGACGATGTTGTTATGCAAGACTGCAGTTGCATCTGAAGTACTTCTACTATGTTTGTAGGTAAATTGTTTGGAATCAGTAAAGGCTTTAAGTGAAGGTTCAAGATTAAGTCAAAGCACCTTTTCCATAGTTAAATTTAACACATGTCCCAGTAGATGACTTTGGTATAGGCATAACTTTAATGTCTTTCCAAACGGCTGGCACAATATTTCTGGTAAAATATTCTTAAAATGTATCAGTGAGAGGATAACATAAGATATCTGCATATTTTTTAGGACTTTGAGAAGAGTTGATGATATCTAAAGAAAAAATCTATTGATATGATATCATTCTATTTCACAGGTTCTCATCAGCTGCAAACTACCTGAAATTACAATGGTTATAAATTATAAGATTTCATACTTCATTGTTTGACAGGTAACAGAGAAGACATTATAAGATTAACGTTTCCGGAATATAAGTATTACAATACTTTATAGTTTAAGTTACCATCAATTTATATACTATCAAACTATGAAAAAACAGAAAGGAAGGGGGGTGAGAGAAGACAGAAGAATCTAATAAAAGTGTTAGCTTGCACATCAACATAGCAACTCAAGAAGGTCAAAGTTCATCAATTTGAAAACTTGCTTAGTGACCTGAGCTCACTAGTGTGCATGACTAACCAGTGTAATGAAAGTGACATGGTTACCAAGGGAGTGAGAGATTGACTACACTCTCGATTTCTGTGTGCATAAGTTTCCTCTGAGACGTTTGATTGCAATTGTTGCAGCAGTAAATCGTAGTAGATTCGCTGTCCTTTGTATGCTTAATATGTTTTTTCATAGTTTGATAGTATATAAATTGATGTTAACTTAATCTAAAAAGTATTGTAATACTTATATTCCGGAAACGTTCATCTTATAATGTCTTCTCTATTACCTTTCAAACAATGAAGTATGAAATCTTATAATTCATAACCATTGTAATTTCAGGTAGTTTGCAGCTGACGAGAACTTGTGAAATAGGATGATGATATTATTTTATATTGCAAATCTGGTCTTTCTATATCTATGGAAATTTATCAAGGGAACCAAATGTATGAAGAAACTATTAAACAGAACGTTGACTGCATAGCTTTATTCTTTCGTAACCTTTGTCTCTTCCAAGTATTATTCTGTACTCTTCTTTTATTACTTCACTCAAGGTTTCCACCATCTCGAGCTGCATTCATTCTCAATCAATTTGCTCAACTTGGCACTATTGAAAAACATGTGGTAAGTTGATTTTTGTCATAGTATAATTACTATGAGGTGAAAAGTTTTCAGACGTTTTTTAAATGACATATATATATACATATATATGTATATGGATATATATAGCTGGATTACAATATCCATAAATAACAATTCCTAGCTATTAAAGTCCTTCAGATTGATTATTAGTGGTTTCATGGATCAGTGTTCATTCATTCTATGATTATCTGAGGAGTAGTCACCAGATGTTGATTGCCCGGTTGGAGTCGGGGATTCTAAAAACCAAATGGTTGGAGACTTGTAATGATAATGTGGCTCAAAATTGTTCTCAATGATGCGCTCAGATGCATTCAGTTTTCGTCAACTCCTAGATCCATTCAGTCCTTATATTCTCGTATAACACGGTAGATGAAAAGAGATTTAGTAACAGAATGTTTATTTGGAATTTGATGTCTTTATGATATAGGGAAGTTATGTCCACCGTCTTATAATGGAAATTGTCACTTGCACAGATCTTCGGGGGTGTGCTACTCCTACCCTTCGTATTGTGTTTGTTTGTCTTGTTTTCACTTGCCCTCTCTAATGTAAAATCTATCTCTCGGTTATTTGATATTTTTCTGCCAATGAACATCTCATAATATATTACTGATAAGTTTTGTCAGTAGAACACGTCACTTTAATGTTGTAGCAGTTGTCATTTGGGTAGATCATTAGCAGGCGTTCATTTTCGTTATGTTTGTGCAGTTGATTTTAATAGTTATTGTTTAATGATGTATCTGGGTATTGTTTTGTTAAAGGCTGACTGGTTGGTTTCGCGGTAGAACTTTGCACCGATGTGCAGCGGTTCAAATCGCCACACTCCATGTAGCACACAAAGCAAGAGAAGAAAGTACAAGAAATGCAAAATACAGACAGTAGACAGAGATATGAGACAAAAGGAATAGTAATAACGAAGAACAATATCGTTCCATTGGAAATTATAAGTCACAAGGAGTGGATGCATCTGCGCCAGCCATTGAGAGCGATTTTGAGCCAGTCATATTACCAATTGTCTCCTGCCATTGGTGTTTACCGTCCAGAGGACCCCAACCAGCCAAGAAGTCTACACCTTCCTATGTGGCTGAAACTAACTGTTGTGGATTTCATCGACTGGTGAATCCATGTTTTGGTTAGAACGCCATATGCTAGTCCTTTTCCAGCCTGACCCTATGTCAGCTAACATTGCCCGTCCAGGAAGGTGATCGATGGTTAGGGATGCATGCGTACCACATGTCCTAACCATCTCAATCGATGTAACTTCATAGCCTCGTCTATTGATTTCCCCCTCACTCCTTATCTAGCACTCGACTCGTAACCTCAATATTGCTCACCCTATTATACCACTTCACACGGGAGACAGAACGCAGATACCTATGATCAAAGACAGCTAGGCAAGATTTTCATTTCTACTCTCAATGGCCAGGTTTTACTCACAGCCATAATGGAGGACGGGGCGGACTGCTGAGCAGTACATATGTCCTTTGGTCGTTAAAGGTTACAGTTTTATTTTTTTAAAATTTTTGGTTACAGCTTGATGCCACACCGTATTTTCAGTACAAGTATGGCATTTTCAGCATGGATATCGGTAGCCCGAATTCTGCAGGCCGACCATAGATATCGGGTGTGCGTCGGCAGGGGATCGAACCCGGACCATATGCATGACCGGCGAGAGTCCTAACCACTGTGCCACCGACGCACACACAGTTTTTAAGCAGTTAGTTTTAGATTACGAAATTTATTACTGAATACTACGTTTAATGTTCTCGTTTAACCTATCAAATTCTCCTGTCTCACTAGAAGCAATCTAATTAGAACGCGTGATTTATGTAATGTAAAAACCTCTGAAATGCCATCCTAAATGTCTTCCAGTGGTCGATACCCTTGTTAATCGCGATAGATAGATAGGCTATATGATAGACAGCTAATCAGTATGATATGACCTTCTTGTCACGATTATTGGTCAATTTAATGTAACTCACACCACGTGATGTGACCTTGAGTGTTCTTTGTTCTCTGTCACTCTATTTGTGTGTACATGTAATTGATTAACTCTTCATTTTGTCCGTTCCCTCAATACTGTTCGGTACGTTTTTGTCCTTTCTTGAATGACAATGGATTTGTATATTTTTCTTGGTGTAATTGTATGATTTATTTTATGTTTTAGAAACAGATAAAGTTTAAGTCAAGTCATTCTGTTTTTAACTATAGTTTAGCCAAGACTCTGTGTCGTCAGTATTGAGGAAGGACTAAATCTGTAGGCAAAAATAATCCTACAACCCTCACATGTTGTAGCACATAATTGGCTGAGAAACATCTCGAGAAGTATTAATGATCCCGATATTTTATTTATTTATTTGCTCGTTTAAATATTTCTAATTGTTCCCTATGAAAAACCATCTGTTTTATAAGACGTAACTGTAGTTGAGCAAGAGTCGGTGTTTCAGACGTAGGAGACTCGCCAACCGCGCTAAATGTGGTCCGGGGTTCGATTCCTGGTTGACGCACTCCCAAACCTTGTCATGTTGGTGGCAGCAGTAAAGCTGGTAAACAGGAAACGTTGGGTGTGAGGTGAGCAACCTCGCCCTGTAAAACTGAAATAACTACTAGCGAAACTTCAAAGCGTAAGCTTGAAGCCCCAAGTTCCACTTCTCGGAACGTAAGGGGAATAAAATAATAAAAGGAACTTTAGACAAGGAGGCCTGCAAAATCATACAAATTTAAAATTCGAAACGTATGTTATTTAATCACTGGTAGATTGAAGATGCGCCCTTGTCTTTCTTATGGAGTTGTCAGTGATTGGTAGTGCTTCCATTGAGACTGAAACCTATCACCGATAGCGTTATTCATCAGACGAATATTGAGCCGTGATGGAGATGGAGTTCATTAGCACACAAGTACTCGGCTTGTAGTTAGTTAGCGAGTCCTAAGTTCTAACCGCCTTACACCTGTGTCATCCCAAGTAACACACTGTAAAGTGTTCATGGCTCAATGTTAGAGGCTTGCCAACCATGCACGGGAGTTGCTAGTTCGATTGCTCATCAACACACTCCTAAACCTAGCCTTACCGGTAGTAAACCGTGTAAACGGGGGAGGTTGAATGTAAGGTTCGCGACTTCACCCCGTAAAAGGAGCTCTTCGGCTGCTAAAACTTCGAAAATCTGAAGTTATGTATTCCAGTGGGAACACAAGGAATAGAAAAAATAGTTTGTTGTGTGATAATCCTTTTCTGACTAACTAGGACGACTTATGTTTCAATAAATGGATATGTTACGAGCACTTACACAATTTGTATTACTCATCATACTGTAAAGTGATTATTGAGTTACAGTATCCTGGCCGCTTGCTCAAAATTGCGGTTACCAAGAACAACCTCCATCAATATTACATTGCAAGTAATTCCTCTGACTCAATTTGTTGTAATCTAGTAGAATATGACCTCTAATAGTAGCATATATTGTTTACTCTGACGAGTATTTAAAAAGTCTGCAACCTGATGATTTGCAAGTCTCCACTAAACATGAGACAAAGCAAGCATTATCCTCGATAGATGGATGGTAGCCTGTCCCAGTACATGAGGTAACTGTTCCTAAGTGGTGTCCTTAGTTCACAAAATGCACTCCTGATTGGCTTTCAACAGAATGTCATAAATTTCTCGAAGAAGGGATATCATCATGATGGATTGGTTTACACTTCGGGTGAGATAGAAAGAACTGTGTCACACGATCTACTGTCAATTAACTAATCTTTTATTTGAAGCTCCTGGAGGAAGAGGAAATATCATGCAATAAACTCTGCTGAAAATTCTGTTCATTATATAAACACTGCTCAGAATAAAGCTGGTATTATTATTGTTATTTACCGATTGTATATTAATACCACTTTATACACCCTGAATATTATTATTATTTAATTTTTTTTCTTTCTTCTGTTTTAGATTACAAATAGTGGTAATTGGATGCATATTAAATACCAGAACAGGATACAAGCTCGTTATGCTTTGAATAAAAATGGAAAAGTTTTTGGTGATAATATTATGGTTGGTGTATCAGTGTGTACTGATCCAGTAAGCTAATGATGGTTTTACGTTGTATAAATTTTGTATACTCAGAGTGTGATCGTTGTGCTCCTATGGATTGATAAATTCTGTCTTATAAATCGTGCAGTGTGAATTAGTGCTTGAAACTGCAAGAAAGTTTGAGTAACAGAAGCACCTGAATTGATTATCCCTGAAAGTTATAGAATGACTAGTTAGCTTACTGACGACGGACTGACTGACTAGTTTCAACATAGAACTTTGCACAGATATACAGCAGTCCGAGTTGCTACACTCTCTGCATGTACCACACAAAGCATGAGAAGAGAGTAAACAGAGATTCATCAAATCCGAGATAATAAACAGAAGTGTGAGTGAGGGAAAAAGATTAGTAATATGGAAGAACAGTAGAGTTTTATTGGATGTGATAAACTACAAAGAGTGAATGCATCTGCACCAGCCATTGAAAACCATTTTGAGCCATATCACCCATTGTCTCCGGCCTTCGTTGGTTCTTACCATCACTAGGACCCCAACCAGTCAGACAACCAGTCTACATCTCCCTACGTAACTGGCTTAAACTAACTGTTGTGGGTTTCATTGACTGATGAAGCCATATTTTGTTTGACCACCAGTAGCTAGCTCTTTTCCAACCTTATCGATCCTATTTCAGTCAGCTAGCATATACCGTCGAGGAAGGCGATGGCCTAGTGTGCTTGTGTAATACATGTCCTAACCATCTCAATCGATGTAACTTCACAAACTTGTCGATTGACTTTCTCTGCTAAACCACATTGTTAATATTGAGGTTGTAGAATAAAGTCAGTCCAATAGCCGAACATATTTCTTAAAGAGTAAGTAAGTAAGAATATGTTTCTGTTATATGCAATATAAAATCATTAGAGGTGTCACTGACTTCAGGTCAGTCACTATCGTTTGGTTTAGAATTTCCGCACCGTAATGGTATCACAAATATCCTCTTTATATGTTGGCCTTCTGTCTATTTCACGTGAATCCTGTCCTGAAGTCAAAAATGAGTATTTACTTAGATTGGATACAAGTTAGTAACTAGTGTAATGTGTGTGTCTAGTCTTTTTGGTTGGTGCAAACTCAGTTCTGTCAGTCAGGTTTGCAACATGGCTATCATGCCAGGTGGCTAGCCATCATGGTGCACTATGAACTGTTCATATGAGATGGTTGGAGGCGGCAATCGGAAGGAAGCCCTACCTGACCTAGGTTTCGTGCTTATTGCTGCTGTTGCTGCTGCTGCTGGATTCAACATAGAACTTGGCACCGGAGTGCAGCAGTTCGAGTTGCCACGTTCCAAATACCACACAAAGGTAGACAGGAAAATGAGTGAGGAGAATCAATAGAATTTAGATAAGTATAAGAGTGAAACAGAATGAGTAATGGTAGAAAGGAATATGAAGGTTAAAGAGACTGAATACATCTGCGCCATTGACAACGATTTTGAGCCATGTCACCTATTGTCCCCAGCCATTGATTCTTAGAGTCCCGACTTGATATGATTATGAGCAATAGTTTGTGCTCGAAACGTCATCACTTAATATAACTGTACAACACTGTGTGATTTATCAGAATAAAATCTTAACCATTATGGAACTAGGTCAGGTAGGGCTTCCTTCCGATTGCCGCCGCCAACCATCTAATATCAACAATTCACAGTGACTATTTCACTACATGTAGTGTAATGGCTAACTGGATAGTGCAATTAACGTCTGTTTTTCGGCTCTGTGATACATGATTTGATGATACATGTGCATACTTAGTAAGTCTAGAAGATAACGAAATAAAGATGCTGGATGGTTGGTTGGAGGGTAGCTAAAAGGAATTCTCTTAGACGTGCCTTTCGTACTTACTCATACTCCTCAGTGAGGTATATTCGCAACCTTACTTCAGGTATTTGCTGACGGTTCACTACCCAGTGCAGTGCTGCAATTGGAGACGTTACATTCGCTAAGTTATGCTGAACACGGCCATTATCATCGAATAAGGTGTAATCTCTACCTTTTACTAACTGATATTTTGAGATATCACTGAACTACGTTTTTCTGCTATAGTTCTATTAACATTATTGTATACGCTGTAGTCAACCCAGTAATTATTATTATTATTCCCTTTAATTCCTAGAGGAACATAGGGCTTCAGCCGTGCGTCTCCGTTGCGTTCGGTTCTCTGCTAGAGCCTTCACCTGGCTCCATGTCTGCCCACACGCTTTCATCTCCTCTTCACATGACCTCCAAGTCACCCTTCGACGACCAAATCGCCGCTTCCCTTTTGGGTTCCACTGGAACGATGGCCTGTCTTGTGATGTCACTTGATGGTTTCCTCAGAGTATGACCAATCCATCTCCATTTCTTCCTGCTTATTTGTTTCACAATCGGTTCTTGGTTGGTTCGTTCCCAAAGATCCCTGTTGCTGATCTTTTCTGGCCATCTGGTCTTGAGTAGTATTGAGCGAAGACAACTGTTAATGAAGATCTGTAGTTTGTTGGAAATGCTCTTTATGACGCGCCAAGTCTCTGATCCGTATAGTAGCACTAACTTCACATTGGAGTTGAAAATCCGGATCTTATTTTTGATGCTGAGTGCTGTTGACCTCCACACAGACTTGAGAGTAGTGAAAGCTTGTCTTGCTTTTCCGATTCTTGCTTTGATATCCTTGTCAGGTCTGTCCGCCTGTAGTTGAAACGATGCTTCCTAGTTGGGTAGGTAAAAGAGGTTGTTTCTTTCAGGTTCCTCCCATTTAGGCTGATTGTTGTCTGTTGTTGTTGTTGTTGCTGTTGGTGGTGTTGCCCAGGAATCTTCATCACCTCTGTTTACTCTATGTTCACCTGAAGTTCTATCTTCTCTGGATTCTTTTTCTGCCAACTTGTTACTTTTCACTTGCATATCTTCCAGTTTGTGGGAAATCAGACATATATCATCGGCGAAGTGCAGATCCTCCAAGTTTTTCTTTTGTGTGAGTCCATTTTATGCCTGTTCCCTCATTTCCCGCTGTTTGACGCATTATCCAATCTACTGCAATCAGGAAAATCATTGGCGATAGTAGGCAGCCAGCTTGTCTAACTCCTGTCCTCACTTCGAAGGATTCTATATTTAAATCTTTTTCCATAAAAAGTGATCTACGTGTGCAACCGAATGCTACAGGTCCTGGCGACTTCGACTGTTTTATATCACTTGCGTTGAAACTGGCATAGGTTTTTAGTTTTTTTTTGTTGCATGTTGAAAGTTTTAGAGGTAACGAACTTTTCTGATGCTTAATAGACGGTGTTTGATGAATATGACAAACTGTGAACAGCAGTTTGGAGTATTTCTCTTTTTATAACTTTTTGTAAAAGACTTACAATACCAAATTTTATCAATATGTCTGATGTTATTATTTGTATTCCCCATTATTTATTGATTATATATTTTTGAATTATTGTATTCCTTTGCGTTCCGATGGGGGAACATAGAACTTCGGGCTTCTGGAGCTTTGAAGTCTCAGTAGCAGTGGTTTTTTTAACGGGTTGGGGTTGCTGGTCAACCTTGCCCTCTCAACCTTCCTTCCTTCCTTGTCGGGCTTAGAGCCGGGTTCGGGGGTGGGGTAAATGTGTGCGCTGTCTGGGAATCGAAGCCTGGACCATGTGGGAATGATTGGCAAGCATTGTATCGCTGAACCACCGAGGCATGACTACTGATTGATTATATGAGACTGAAATCCTCAATGACTATCGATGGACGCTCCAACAGAATCTGAAGATTAACACGGTGAACCAGAGCTTGCTATCACTTTGCTCTAGAAGCCGACATGTCAACAGAGACTCAGCACTCTGATCCAGTGTCACCAATCAACACAGGAAATGCAACAACTAAGTTAAACAACAAATAACAGCTAATAACTGCTGCCCCTCCCCATACAGTGGCCTAGTGAAAAACTATGTGTAGTGCTTGAAACGTTGGATGCTAAGTTCGAGTCTCAGCGGGGGAGAGAGGGGAAAGTGTTATCATTCACTGCGAATACAGTCACATTATCCTGCTGATGAGCTCCGAATCGGACGAAAGGTGCATTTTAGTTCCTACTGCAAGCCAGTTACCACCATCTCATGTTGCTTTACACTAATGGGATGATTGGCAATTCTAATTATTTATTTATTTATTGCTTTCTTTTTGTTCATCGACAGCAAGTAATAGATGGAGAAAAGTCTGGTGTGTTTTGTAGACAGACAAATACCAGTAATATAAATGATTCTGTATTCCTTAGTCCATCGAATAACAACAGTATGAACAATATTCGCCGTGGTATCGATGATGCTAACAATAAAACAACAGGAACAATGAATAGAACTCCGAATAGAGATATGGGTGGATTAAAGCCACCATCATTAAGTACTGGGATTGATTCTGGCAATAATATGCTTACAGACAAACCAGTAGGTAGTAGCATTGGCAGACATAATTCAATGCGATCGTTGGCTGCATCTAATCGACCAACAAGTCTATCGAGAACAGCAAGTGTAAGTTGACCAACTCTTATTTCATGTCCTTTTCGCTTTCCACTCCCCACAATCTGCTTAGCTATTATTTTTATTTCCCTCCAAAGTTTAAGGATTTTGTTTACTATAAATGCACATAGTGATTTTAATGAGGGAAGGTCAAAAAGGCCATAGCTTTCGTCAGTGTCCGCGACTATGAATCTGTAACCGGATAAGACTTGGTAAGGGACCTTTTTGTTAGTGAGACTCACCGTATTGATACGTTTTTAGCTATATTTATGGTCGACTAGATCAACGGATAATAAACTATTCTGATTGGTTGTTGGTTTTCTGAAGGTCAAACTTTTGGGACGTGAAGTTGTCTACTGACAGTAGGTTGTTCTGATTAGTTGTTGGCTTTTTAGAGGTTAAATCTTGAGGTTGTTTCCTGACCACAACGTAGGCGAGCTGCAGATTTGAGAAATAAACCCTTCTATTTCTGTAGCTATTGTTTCAAAATGTTGTTTTTCAATTTAGGTTACTTCCTATCAATCTGCATCTATATACTATTGATAAATCTTGTTAGTAGCACATGCTGCAATATAATAACATAGTTAACTGGAGGGAGAGTTTAATCACCGAATCTTTGCTGATCGAATCATCCGATATATTGGATTATTTTCTACCACGATACCCAAACTCTACTCTTACACTAAGCCTGAATAATTGTTGCAGTTATTGAATGTGCCAAAAATAGTAGTTTCTTCTATAGCCTGTTATGGAATTGAGTGAAAGTGCATAGTATCTACCAGTCAACGAGGTATGATGATGTAAGTGAAGTGCGTATCTAGGCATGTTTCTATGAGAAATTTTTAGTAGTATTAGTAGGAGTAATCGTGAGCAGAGTAATATAATAAACTTTGTGATCAATTTTGGTCACGGATTGATATCGGTTAGAGGACCATTAAAGAACCTAGGAGTACTGGACTGGTGTCTCATCCAAGTTCTGGACTCTTCAACAGTACTCACCCATGGGGTTTCGAACCTAGGACCTTCTGGTTACAAGGTGAGGTTGTAGGCCATAAAGCCACTGGGACACCTGCCTGATCCGATAGTCAGTCCATAAATTCCATCTTCTGCTAATTCACGATGTTTATAGCTCAACCGCCAGTCAATGTCATGGTCGAGTAACTGTTCTCCTCCCTGACTTGGTGGACTCCGCTGGTTGCGACTTCTCACTAGAACTCCACGTAACTTTCTGTATACAGGCAGTTGCTAGTTAGCATTAGATTAACTATCAAGGTGTTGGTTTGCGGGGATTTGACTGGTTACAGGATTTCATCATGAGCTGACATCGGTTAGAGAACCACTGGAGAACCTGGGTGGACTGGACAGGTGTCTCATCCTGGTTCTGGACTCTTCATCAGTACCCACATATAAACAAGTGAAGCTTAGTAAGAAATAAGCATTCTAAGTACTGCATATCAGCAATTCCTTTTAGAATGAAACTCAGCGATTGTATACAGACCGAAATTGTCGGTGACTACTTGAGTTAACATTTTACCTCGTTCAGATTATACTTAACTGATATAATTGTTTACAAACTCCTTTATTCCTTAATTTGTTTTTTTTGTCATTACTGTAGGTTCGACAGGACAGGGATTCTGGATTAATATCCAAAGCACTCGGCTACATGTTTGGCTGGTCATAAATTTGAAACCAATTTTTGGGTATTTACCAGTTTCGATTATTGGTTATACCGGATATGTAGTTATGGTTTTCTGAGATTCATCTTATCCTATGCCATATTGTAAAATAAAAGTATAACGTTATGATCACAAAACATTACACATTTTTTTTGACCTAATCCCCTCTTTTAACGCGAAACGTGATACACGTATGCACTTATCTGTATTAGTGGGGTATAAGTGTGTGTAGACTTGCGGGTTGTTGATTGTGAGGCTAACAAAACCTATAAATCATGGTTTGAAATTGACAACTGTGTAAACGCAGTCATGTTCTGGACTCCATGTGCTTATCTTCGTTTTAGATTAGAAGAGAGAGCCTTTTTCAAGTTGAGTTACACTTGCAGGACGGGTGTTAAGCGGTATAATATAGTGGGAGATATTTAAGTTATGTGAGTAGGAGAGTTAATCAATCAGTTTGTGAAGCTGCATCGATTGAAATGGCAGGGGCACATGTTACGCATGCACACCAAGCCATTGCTCCTCCTCGTCGATTGATGTTAGTTGACGTCGGGTTGTGTTGGAAAGCGAACCGAAACATGGCAACAATGCATGCAGTTTTAGGCTATGCGTTTAATCCATGTAGGAAGGTGCAGAGATGCTAGTAACCAGTGGCTTGAAACTGTTGGTTGGTAACATTTTTTCTTTCTGTATCTGTATGCGTATGCTATATATGTGTGTGTGTGTGTAGAGTGGCAACTTTGAAGTGTTACACTTTGTTGCATGTTTGTGCGTTGAAAATTCATTCCAGATTAGCCTGTATAAGAGTAGAGAAGTGTCTGTTAATTATTTGAACCAGTACGTAATGGTTGCGGCCAAAGTGTCGTCAGTGTCATGCTTAAGAATTTTACTATTATTCTTTTTATTCCCTTTGGTTCCGAGTGGAATACAGGGCTTCAACAGCGCATCTCCACTTTGTCCTATTCTCTGCTATCCTCTTTAGGCAGGTCCACGAATCGTCCATAATCTCTCATCTCCTCCTCACAACACCAATCTCCTCCATGTCACCATTGACCACACTCCCGAATCGTCGTTTCCCCCATTCTGATTCCACTGCAGCCATGACTTGGCATGCGATGTCATTCGACGGTCTCCTCAGTGTGTGTCCAGTCCATCTACATTTTCTCCCACATATTCGTTGAGCAATCGATTTTTTTGATTGGTTTGTCCCCATAATTTCTCGTTGCTGATTCTTTCTCGCTGGCTATTTGATCTTTAATATGGATTCAGCGAAGGCAGCTGTTGTTGATAAATGTCTGCAGTTTATTGGCCACATTTCCGACCTATATAGAAGAAGTGACTGGCTTAAGATTGGTGTTGAAAATCCGAATCTTGTTCTTTATGTCGACTGAGTGCGGAGGATGTCCAAACTGATTTCAGAGTGATGAAGGTTTGTCTTGGCTTTCCAATTCTGGCTGGCATTCACATCCTCACGCGTGCTGGCTACCTGTAACTGAAACAATGCTGCCGAGATAATTGAAGGAAGTAACCTCTTTCAAATTTATCCCATTGATGATGACTGGTGCTATTTGTTCTTGATGTAAGTATAAAACTTGGGCACAGTGGTAGAGTATAACTCCATTATAGATAAGATTTTATTTTCATAAATCACACAGTGTTGTACAGTTATATTAACTGATGACTTATCGAGCACAAATTATTGCTCATAATCATATGTCTCCGACTTTGCTCTGATCTGTGGTTTTGTGGTTCAGTTTCTGAATGCCAAACTTGAGTTGTGGCCTGTCTCCATTTGTTTTGAGGGATTTCATCTTCACCTTGAAGGTTCCTAAAACTAGATGACGGTGTGAGCCCACATCTGCTCTCCTTGTCGACTTTGTTCACATCCTTGAACAGTGTTGAGATGAAATCTATCTGGTTTGTGGTATTTCCTTCAGGCGAAATCCATGTTGCTGTGAGTATATCCTTGTGTTTGTACACACTGCCTCCGATCACCAGATCATTGAAAGCGCAGAATTCTGCGGATAATTCTCCGTTCTCATTCATTTCTCCCAGAGCCTCTCGATCGATGATGAGTTCTCTTCCTATATAATTTGCTCCCATTTCGGCTAGCATTCATATCGCCTGTGAGGATTATTGTGCCAGCATTCGGAATGTTGTCCATTACTGTTTGTAGTTATCTGTAAAACTCTTCCTTCTTGTCTTGTTCCGCATTGTTTGTGGCACTGTCCGTAGCATTGGATAATTGTGACCTTCCTTTTGATTTGAATCTTGTTGTCATGATCTTGCTGGAGGAGATTGGTTCTTACTGTATTAGGGCTTTGGCTGCCACTGGTTACATCATGATAGCTACTGACTGACTCAGTGTGCTCGTAGTCGTCGTCTGGGTGACCGGAGTAGATTATTGACTCTCCAGTTGACAATTCTGACAATCCACATCCATTTCATCTGCTCTCGCAAATTCCCAGCACTTCTATACCTTATCTCCTCATTTCTTTGGCTAACTCGGCAGCCTTCCCAGCTTTGTACATTGTACGAACACTCCACACTCACATTGTTGTTCTTGACATTATTGGAAGACGACACATCATCTGACTGGCTTCCCGAAGGCTTTCACCAGCCTGCTATGTCATTTAGCCTCTCTAATTCCAGAGAGAATTAAGTCTGATTTGTTATATTTTCTGTATTTTTCCTGTGCACTGAAGTTTGTGTAGCAGATTGATTGTTTTGGTGGTGTAGGATCGCTACCCCCCACGTCCGACCTTTACTCTTCACGCGAGTTTGGGACCGGCTAGAAAGCTAGCGAGCTCGTAAACGAGGTGAGGTTTTATAAACTGGAAGGTCAAAAATATTCTGTTTATGAAGAATTTAGACGTTTTGAATAACAGTCTATCAGAAAATATGGAGAACCAGTTGTCTGCATCTTCGACAATCATACGTCGTTCTGTAATCAAAGACTGAAACTGGTGTTCAACTAAACAGTGTACGAGACTGTGGACGGCTATGGTGGCATTGTACTGATTACATCTACATTGTAAACAAGACTAGTGACGCAATCGGTCATCATCCTGTGTCAACTCCAGGCAGTTATTGTCAGTATTCTATGATAAGTCAAAATATAATGTGACTTAACACAAAAATGCACCAGTTTATCAGGATATCATCACCAGTCGTCCAGAAAATTAGACATCATTTACTGATAGACTGACAAAAGCCGTTAGGTCGCGGATAGTACGCGACTAATGGTTGTGTGCAAGGTTTGAAGAAGGCTGTGTGTTATTTGCATGCGCCTCACCCTGATAATGTTTTATTCTCAGCACGAATACAGAGGGCTAGTTTCGCATATGCCAGTTTACGCCGTTTCTGGCGTAGACGTGATATCCGACTATAGACCAAAGCGCGGGTTTACTGCTCATCAGTCCGCTCTGTCCTCCTTTATGGCTGTGAGACCTGGCCATTGAGAGCGGAAGACATGAAAAGATTAGCTGTCTTTGATCATAGGTGTCTGCGTTCTATCTCCCGCGTGAAGTGGTATAATAAGGTGAGCAATATTGAGATTAGGCATCGAGTGCTAGGTAAGGAGGGGAAATCAGTCGACGAGACTGTGAAATTACATCAACTGAGATGGTTAGGACATGTGTTACGTATGCCTAGTCACCGCTTTCCTCGACGGGCAATGTTAGCTGATATAGGGTCAGGCTGGAAAAGAGCTAGCGGCGGTCAAACGAAAACATGGCACCAGTCAATGAAATCCACAACAGTTAGTCTAAGCCAGTCACGTAGGAAGGTGTAAACTTCCTGGTTGGGGTCCTCGGGACGATAAAAACCAATGGTTGGAAACAATTGGTGACATGGCTCAAAATCGTTTTCAATGGCTAGCGCAGATGCATCTACTCCTTGTCACTTATGATTTTCAATTTAACTGTTTTGTTCTCCGTTATTACTATACCTTTGTTTCACACCTCTGTTTACTGTCTATATTATGCATTTCTCCTACTTTCTTCTATTGCTTTGTGTGCTACATGGAGTGTGGCGACTTGAACTGCCGCACATATGTGCAAAGTTCTATGTCGGAAACACAGACAGACAGATGCAAACAACAGCCAAAGTAAAGTATTGCACATTCCGCTTTCATTTTCATGCATCAGTTAACACTGGTTAATTATACCCTAAAGTGTCCCATCGAGTCTCGCACTAATTAGCTGGAATTCCAGTATATTTCAAACGCAATTAGTGCTTATGTCTCGCTTTTAATTCACAGGATTCAGTCTTGTTTCTGGGAGACTGCAGTGAATAACTTCGATTGATGTAGATCTTGTCTGGTGACTTTAATGCTCAAGTAGGGAAATTGTGTCAATCTGAGAAGAATGTTGGTGGCACATACGGAATTCCGTGCCAGCGAACCGACAACGGTGACCGTCTCCTACAGTTCTGTTCAGATAATCATTTGTATCTTGTAAGCACTAACTTCAAACACAAGGAGAGACACTGTTTGACCTGGCGACCCCATCATCAAATCAACGCTGGACACAAATAGACCACATAGCAATAAGCTATCGTTGGCGTGGGTCGGTAGGAGATTGTCGCTCCTTCTGGAACACGTGTGTAGATACGGATCACGCACTGGTCCGCGCTCGTGTGTGCTTACGACTGAACGGACGTAGGAAACAGCTGGCGGTAAACCCATCACGTCCCCAGCTCGACCAGGGAACTAAGTCCCTATTTGAGGAAGAACTAGCTAAACACATATCTGAGTTTGACAGCTGCGCTCACCCTGAAGAAGCCTTCATCGACCCCTAGATTAGAAATAGGAAGTGAAGTGGTAGAACACGTTGACCGCTTCACTTACTTGGGAAGTACCATCAGCCCAAACGGGTTGATCTCCGACGAAATTTCAGCACGAATACAGAGGGCTAGGTTCGCATTCGCCAGTTTTCGCCGTCTCTGGCGTAGACGCGATATCCGACTATCGACCAAAGGGCGTGTGTACTGCTCAACAGTCCGCTCCGTCCTCCTTTATGGCTGTGAGACCTGGCCATTGAGAGCAGAAGACATGAAAAGATTAGCCGTCTTCGATCATAGGTGTCTGCGTTCTATCTCCCGCGTGAAGTGGTATAATAAGGTGAGCAATATTGAGGTTAGGCGTCGAGTGCTAGGTAAGGCGGGGAAATCAATCGACGAGACTGTGAAATTACTTCGACTGAGATGGTTAGGACATGTGTTACGTATGCCTAGTCATCGCCTTCCTCGACGGACAATGTTAGCTGATATAGGGTCAGGCTGGAAAAGAGCTAGCGGCGGTCAAACCAAAACATGGCACCAATCAATGAAATCCACAACAGTTAATCTAAGCCACGTAGGAAGATGTAGACTTCCTGGTTGGGGCCCTCGGGATGGTAAAAACCAATGGTTGGAAACAATTGGTGACATGGCTCAAAATCGTTCTCAGTGGCGCAGATGCATCCACTCCTTGTGACTTATGATTTCCAATTAAACTTTTGTTCTCCGTTATTACTATTCCTTTGTCTCACACCTCTGTTTACTGTCTATATTATGCATTTCTTCTACTTCCTTCTCTTGCTTTGCGTGCTACATAGATTGTGGCGACTTGAACTGCCGCACATATGTGCAAAGTTCTATGTCGAAAACCGACCGACCGACCGAGATCTTGTAGTTGAAATGCATCGACACATTACAAACATCTCTGTCAAAACTCAAAGCAATCCCCAGAAATACATTCACAGTGGGACAAAAGCATTAACTCTTATATCTGATGCGATACTAGGTCATCCTATTCCTCACAACTCTTTCATTCTGTAACTTTCTACAGTCACTAGTTTTATTGACTTCTTAGTCGCAACTGTCGGCAACATAAACTCTGTTTGGTGTGGAATGTTGTAACCCAGGCTCATATACAGTCACAGATATCATATCTATCTCATCTTTTTTCAGCGGCATATTACAGTTCTCTGACAGTCAGATCAAAACGAATAATCAGGTAGTGAGTTTGATGTTTCCAACTTCTACCTTTTCAACTAAAACTGGAGCATATTAAAATCAGTGCTGCAACACCAGTTGTGCAAAGCATCTCACACGGCACACGTTCTGAATCAATCATTTTACGTACGAGAACACAATTCAGAGTGGTTATGAAGGGAAAGTTGACATCACAAGTGACTTAGCTACCGATACCCTTAAAATAAAGACCTCATAGTCCCTGATTAGGGCATTCGCTTCAGCATCATTGAGAACTGTGTTCCTTAATCGACTATTACTGCTTAGCAACATGAAGGATACGATTCCTCAGTTGACCGACTCTGTGTGGTTTACCAGTTCACCAACACATGTGCAGCAAGGTATATCAGTCAGAGTTCACACTCTTCTCTGAACAAAGTCCCGTCACACTGTCAAGAAGTAAAGAATAATCCCTCAATGATTTACTCCGCAAACAATCGCATGCCACGTCATGGCTGCAGTGGAATCAGAATGGGGGAAACGACGATTCGGGAGTGTGGTCAATGGTGACATGGAGGAGATTGGTGTTGTGAGGAGGAGATGAGAGATTATGGACGATTCGTGGACCTGCCTAAAGAGGATAGCAGAGAATAGGACAAAGTGGAGATGCGCTGTTGAAGCCCTGTATTCCACTCGGAACCAAAGGGAATAAAAAGAATAATAGTAAAATTCTTAAGCATGACACTGACGACACTTTGGCCGCAACCATTACGTACTGGTTCAAATAATTAACAGACACTTCTCTACTCTTATACAGGCTAATCTGGAATGAATTTTCAACGCACAAACATGCAACAAAGTGTAACACTTCAAAGTTGCCACTCTACACACACACACACATATATAGCATACGCATACAGATACAGAAAGAAAAAATGTTACCAACCAACAGTTTCAAGCCACTGGTTACTAGCATCTCTGCACCTTCCTACATGGATTAAACGCATAGCCTAAAACTGCATGCATTGTTGCCATGTTTCGGTTCGCTTTCCAACACAACCCGACGTCAACTAACATCAATCGACGAGGAGGAGCAATGGCTTGGTGTGCATGCGTAACATGTGCCCCTGCCATTTCAATCGATGCAGCTTCACAAACTGATTGATTAACTCTCCTACTCACATAACTTAAATATCTCCCACTATATTATACCGCTTAACACCCGTCCTGCAAGTGTAACTCAACTTGAAAAAGGCTCTCTCTTCTAATCTAAAACGAAGATAAGCACATGGAGTCCAGAACATGACTGCGTTTACACAGTTGTCAATTTCAAACCATGATTTATAGGTTTTGTTAGCCTCACAATCAACAACCCGCAAGTCTACACACACTTATACCCCACTAATACAGATAAGTGCATACGTGTATCACGTTTCGCGTTAAAAGAGGGGATTAGGTCAAAAAAAATGTGTAATGTTTTGTGATCATAACGTTATACTTTTATTTTACAATATGGCATAGGATAAGATGAATCTCAGAAAACCATAACTACATATCCGGTATTACCAACAATCGAAACTGGTAAATACCCAAAAATTGGTTTCAAATTTATGACCAGCCAAACATGTAGCCGAGTGCTTTGGATATTAATCCAGAATCCCTGTCCTGTCGAACCTACAGTAATGACAAAAAAAACAAATTAAGGAATAAAGGAGTTTGTAAACAATTATATCAGTTAAGTATAATCTGAACGAGGTAAAATGTTAACTCAAGTAGTCACCGACAATTTCGGTCTGTATACAATCGCTGAGTTTCATTCTAAAAGGAATTGCTGATATGCAGTACTTAGAATGCTTATTTCTTACTAAGCTTCACTTGTTTATATGTGGGTACTGATGAAGAGTCCAGAACCAGGATGAGACACCTGTCCAGTCCACCCAGGTTCTCCAGTGGTTCTCTAACCGATGTCAGCTCATGATGAAATCCTGTAACCAGTCAAATCCCCGCAAACCAACACCTTGATAGTTAATCTAATGCTAACTAGCAACTGCCTGTATACAGAAAGTTACGTGGAGTTCTAGTGAGAAGTCGCAACCAGCGGAGTCCACCAAGTCAGGGAGGAGAACAGTTACTCGACCATGACATTGACTGGCGGTTGAGCTATAAACATCGTGAATTAGCAGAAGATGGAATTTATGGACTGACCATCGGATCAGGCAGGTGTCCCAGTGGCTTTATGGCCTACAACCTCACCTTGTAACCAGAAGGTCCTAGGTTCGAAACCCCATGGGTGAGTACTGTTGAAGAGTCCAGAACTTGGATGAGACACCAGTCCAGTACTCCTGGGTTCTTTAATGGTCCTCTAACTGATATCAATCCGTGACCAAAATTGATCACAAAGTTTATTATATTACTCTGCTCACGATTACTCCTACTAATACTACTAAAAATTTCTCATAGAAACATGCCTAGATACGCACTTCACTTACATCATCATACCTCGTTGACTGGTAGATACTATGCACTTTCACTCAATTCCATAACAGGCTATAGAAGAAACTACTATTTTTGGCACATTCAATAACTGCAACAATTATTCAGGCTTAGTGTAAGAGTAGAGTTTGGGTATCGTGGTAGAAAATAATCCAATATATCGGATGATTCGATCAGCAAAGATTCGGTGATTAAACTCTCCCTCCAGTTAACTATGTTATTATATTGCAGCATGTGCTACTAACAAGATTTATCAATAGTATATAGATGCAGATTGATAGGAAGTAACCTAAATTGAAAAACAACATTTTGAAACAATAGCTACAGAAATAGAAGGGTTTATTTCTCAAATCTGCAGCTCGCCTACGTTGTGGTCAGGAAACAACCTCAAGATTTAACCTCTAAAAAGCCAACAACTAATCAGAACAACCTACTGTCAGTAGACAACTTCACGTCCCAAAAGTTTGACCTTCAGAAAACCAACAACCAATCAGAATAGTTTATTATCCGTTGATCTAGTCGACCATAAATATAGCTAAAAACGTATCAATACGGTGAGTCTCACTAACAAAAAGGTCCCTTACCAAGTCTTATCCGGTTACAGATTCATAGTCGCGGACACTGACGAAAGCTATGGCCTTTTTGACCTTCCCTCATTAAAATCACTATGTGCATTTATAGTAAACAAAATCCTTAAACTTTGGAGGGAAATAAAAATAATAGCTAAGCAGATTGTGGGGAGTGGAAAGCGAAAAGGACATGAAATAAGAGTTGGTCAACTTACACTTGCTGTTCTCGATAGACTTGTTGGTCGATTAGATGCAGCCAACGATCGCATTGAATTATGTCTGCCAATGCTACTACCTACTGGTTTGTCTGTAAGCATATTATTGCCAGAATCAATCCCAGTACTTAATGATGGTGGCTTTAATCCACCCATATCTCTATTCGGAGTTCTATTCATTGTTCCTGTTGTTTTATTGTTAGCATCATCGATACCACGGCGAATATTGTTCATACTGTTGTTATTCGATGGACTAAGGAATACAGAATCATTTATATTACTGGTATTTGTCTGTCTACAAAACACACCAGACTTTTCTCCATCTATTACTTGCTGTCGATGAACAAAAAGAAAGCAATAAATAAATAAATAATTAGAATTGCCAATCATCCCATTAGTGTAAAGCAACATGAGATGGTGGTAACTGGCTTGCAGTAGGAACTAAAATGCACCTTTCGTCCGATTCGGAGCTCATCAGCAGGATAATGTGACTGTATTCGCAGTGAATGATAACACTTTCCCCTCTCTCCCCCGCTGAGACTCGAACTTAGCATCCAACGTTTCAAGCACTACACATAGTTTTTCACTAGGCCACTGTATGGGGAGGGGCAGCAGTTATTAGCTGTTATTTGTTGTTTAACTTAGTTGTTGCATTTCCTGTGTTGATTGGTGACACTGGATCAGAGTGCTGAGTCTCTGTTGACATGTCGGCTTCTAGAGCAAAGTGATAGCAAGCTCTGGTTCACCGTGTTAATCTTCAGATTCTGTTGGAGCGTCCATCGATAGTCATTGAGGATTTCAGTCTCATATAATCAATCAGTAGTCATGCCTCGGTGGTTCAGCGATACAATGCTTGCCAATCATTCCCACATGGTCCAGGCTTCGATTCCCAGACAGCGCACACATTTACCCCACCCCCGAACCCGGCTCTAAGCCCGACAAGGAAGGAAGGAAGGTTGAGAGGGCAAGGTTGACCAGCAACCCCAACCCGTTAAAAAAACCACTGCTACTGAGACTTCAAAGCTCCAGAAGCCCGAAGTTCTATGTTCCCCCATCGGAACGCAAAGGAATACAATAATTCAAAAATATATAATCAATAAATAATGGGGAATACAAATAATAACATCAGACATATTGATAAAATTTGGTATTGTAAGTCTTTTACAAAAAGTTATAAAAAGAGAAATACTCCAAACTGCTGTTCACAGTTTGTCATATTCATCAAACACCGTCTATTAAGCATCAGAAAAGTTCGTTACCTCTAAAACTTTCAACATGCAACAAAAAAAACTAAAAACCTATGCCAGTTTCAACGCAAGTGATATAAAACAGTCGAAGTCGCCAGGACCTGTAGCATTCGGTTGCACACGTAGATCACTTTTTATGGAAAAAGATTTAAATATAGAATCCTTCGAAGTGAGGACAGGAGTTAGACAAGCTGGCTGCCTACTATCGCCAATGATTTTCCTGATTGCAGTAGATTGGATAATGCGTCAAACAGCGGGAAATGAGGGAACAGGCATAAAATGGACTCACACAAAAGAAAAACTTGGAGGATCTGCACTTCGCCGATGATATATGTCTGATTTCCCACAAACTGGAAGATATGCAAGTGAAAAGTAACAAGTTGGCAGAAAAAGAATCCAGAGAAGATAGAACTTCAGGTGAACATAGAGTAAACAGAGGTGATGAAGATTCCTGGGCAACACCACCAACAGCAACAACAACAACAACAGAAAACAATCAGCCTGAATGGGAGGAACCTGAAAGAAACAACCTCCTTTACCTACCTGGGAAGCATCGTTTCAACTACAGGCGGACAGACCTGACAAGGATATCAAAGCAAGAATCGGAAAAGCAAGACAAGCTTTCACTACTCTCAAGTCTGTGTGGAGGTCAACAGCACTCAGCATCAAAAATAAGATCCGGATTTTCAACTCCAATGTGAAGTTAGTGCTACTATACGGATCAGAGACTTGGCGCGTCATAAAGAGCATTTCCAACAAACTACAGATCTTCATTAACAGTTGTCTTCGCTCAATACTACTCAAGACCAGATGGCCAGAAAAGATCAGAAGCAGGGATCTTTGGGAACGAACCAACCAAGAACCGATTGTGAAACAAATAAGCAGGAAGAAATGGAGATGGATTGGTCATACTCTGAGGAAACCATCAAGTGACATCACAAGACAGGCCATCGTTCCAGTGGAACCCAAAAGGGAAGCGGCGATTTGGTCGTCGAAGGGTGACTTGGAGGTCATGTGAAGAGGAGATGAAAGCGTGTGGGCAGACATGGAGCCAGGTGAAGGCTCTAGCAGAGAACCGAACGCAACGGAGACGCACGGCTGAAGCCCTATGTTCCTCTAGGAATTAAAGGGAATAATAATAATAATTACTGGGTTGACTACAGCGTATACAATAATGTTAATAGAACTATAGCAGAAAAACGTAGTTCAGTGATATCTCAAAATATCAGTTAGTAAAAGGTAGAGATTACACCTTATTCGATGATAATGGCCGTGTTCAGCATAACTTAGCGAATGTAACGTCTCCAATTGCAGCACTGCACTGGGTAGTGAACCGTCAGCAAATACCTGAAGTAAGGTTGCGAATATACCTCACTGAGGAGTATGAGTAAGTACGAAAGGCACGTCTAAGAGAATTCCTTTTAGCTACCCTCCAACCAACCATCCAGCATCTTTATTTCGTTATCTTCTAGACTTACTAAGTATGCACATGTATCATCAAATCATGTATCACAGAGCCGAAAAACAGACGTTAATTGCACTATCCAGTTAGCCATTACACTACATGTAGTGAAATAGTCACTGTGAATTGTTGATATTAGATAATTGGAGGCGGCAATCGGAGGGAAGCCCTACCTGACCTAGGTTTCGTGCTTATTGGCACTCACCAGTCACAGCAAGGTGTACCTGTAATCTTGAAGTAAGTCATATCCCTTGTGAGATTCGAACCCGCGTCACCTGATGTGCTGCAATCAAAGACGTTACCACTGAGGTATTCGGATTCGTGACCGACCAATACAGTTCTACAGGAGGTAAGTCGTGAGCCCGGATACCTCAATGACAAAGTCTTTGACTACAGCACACTGGGTGACGTGTGTTCGAATCTCACAAGGGATGTGACTTACTTCAAGATTACAGGCACACCTTGCTGTGACTGGTGAGTGCCAATAAGCACGAAACCTAGGTCAGGTAGGGCTTCCTTCCGATTGCCGCCTCCAACCATCTCATATGAACAGTTCATAGTGCACCATGATGGCTAGCCACCTGGCATGATAGCCATGTTGCAAACCTGACTGACAGAACTGAGTTTGCACCAACCAAAAAGACTAGACACACACATTACACTAGTTACTAACTTGTATCCAATCTAAGTAAATACTCATTTTTGACTTCAGGACAGGATTCACGTGAAATAGACAGAAGGCCAACATATAAAGAGGATATTTGTGATACCATTACGGTGCGGAAATTCTAAACCAAACGATAGTGACTGACCTGAAGTCAGTGACACCTCTAATGATTTTATATTGCATATAACAGAAACATATTCTTACTTACTTACTCTTTAAGAAATATGTTCGGCTATTGGACTGACTTTATTCTACAACCTCAATATTAACAATGTGGTTTAGCAGAGAAAGTCAATCGACAAGTTTGTGAAGTTACATCGATTGAGATGGTTAGGACATGTATTACACAAGCACACTAGGCCATCGCCTTCCTCGACGGTATATGCTAGCTGACTGAAATAGGATCGATAAGGTTGGAAAAGAGCTAGCTACTGGTGGTCAAACAAAATATGGCTTCATCAGTCAATGAAACCCACAACAGTTAGTTTAAGCCAGTTACGTAGGGAGATGTAGACTGGTTGTCTGACTGGTTGGGGTCCTAGTGATGGTAAGAACCAACGAAGGCCGGAGACAATGGGTGATATGGCTCAAAATGGTTTTCAATGGCTGGTGCAGATGCATTCACTCTTTGTAGTTTATCACATCCAATAAAACTCTACTGTTCTTCCATATTACTAATCTTTTTCCCTCACTCACACTTCTGTTTATTATCTCGGATTTGATGAATCTCTGTTTACTCTCTTCTCATGCTTTGTGTGGTACATGCAGAGAGTGTAGCAACTCGGACTGCTGTACATCTGTGCAAAGTTCTATGTTGAAACTAGTCAGTCAGTCCGTCGTCAGTAAGCTAACTAGTCATTCTATAACTTTCAGGGATAATCAATTCAGGTGCTTCTGTTACTCAAACTTTCTTGCAGTTTCAAGCACTAATTCACACTGCACGATTTATAAGACAGAATTTATCAATCCATAGGAGCACAACGATCACACTCTGAGTATACAAAATTTATACAACGTAAAACCATCATTAGCTTACTGGATCAGTACACACTGATACACCAACCATAATATTATCACCAAAAACTTTTCCATTTTTATTCAAAGCATAACGAGCTTGTATCCTGTTCTGGTATTTAATATGCATCCAATTACCACTATTTGTAATCTAAAACAGAAGAAAGAAAAAAAATTAAATAATAATAATATTCAGGGTGTATAAAGTGGTATTAATATACAATCGGTAAATAACAATAATAATACCAGCTTTATTCTGAGCAGTGTTTATATAATGAACAGAATTTTCAGCAGAGTTTATTGCATGATATTTCCTCTTCCTCCAGGAGCTTCAAATAAAAGATTAGTTAATTGACAGTAGATCGTGTGACACAGTTCTTTCTATCTCACCCGAAGTGTAAACCAATCCATCATGATGATATCCCTTCTTCGAGAAATTTATGACATTCTGTTGAAAGCCAATCAGGAGTGCATTTTGTGAACTAAGGACACCACTTAGGAACAGTTACCTCATGTACTGGGACAGGCTACCATCCATCTATCGAGGATAATGCTTGCTTTGTCTCATGTTTAGTGGAGACTTGCAAATCACAGGTAGCAGCAGGTTGCAGACTTTTTAAATACTCGTCAGAGTAAACAATATATGCTACTATTAGAGGTCATATTCTACTAGATTACAACAAATTGAGTCAGAGGAATTACTTGCAATGTAATATTGATGGAGGTTGTTCTTGGTAACCGCAATTTTGAGCAAGCGGCCAGGATACTGTAACTCAATAATCACTTTACAGTATGATGAGTAATACAAATTGTGTAAGTGCTCGTAACATATCCATTTATTGAAACATAAGTCGTCCTAGTTAGTCAGAAAAGGATTATCACACAACAAACTATTTTTTCTATTCCTTGTGTTCCCACTGGAATACATAACTTCAGATTTTCGAAGTTTTAGCAGCCGAAGAGCTCCTTTTACGGGGTGAAGTCGCGAACCTTACATTCAACCTCCCCCGTTTACACGGTTTACTACCGGTAAGGCTAGGTTTAGGAGTGTGTTGATGAGCAATCGAACTAGGAACTCCCGCGCATGGTTGGCAAGCCTCTAACATTGAGCCATGAACACTTTACAGTGTGTTACTTGGGATGACACAGGTGTAAGGCGGTTAGAACTTAGGACTCGCTAACTAACTACAAGCCGAGTACTTGTGTGCTAATGAACTCCATCTCCATCACGGCTCAATATTCGTCTGATGAATAACGCTATCGGTGATAGGTTTCAGTCTCAATGGAAGCACTACCAATCACTGACAACTCCATAAGAAAGACAAGGGCGCATCTTCAATCTACCAGTGATTAAATAACATACGTTTCGAATTTTAAATTTGTATGATTTTGCAGGCCTCCTTGTCTAAAGTTCCTTTTATTATTTTATTCCCCTTACGTTCCGAGAAGTGGAACTTGGGGCTTCAAGCTTACGCTTTGAAGTTTCGCTAGTAGTTATTTCAGTTTTACAGGGCGAGGTTGCTCACCTCACACCCAACGTTTCCTGTTTACCAGCTTTACTGCTGCCACCAACATGACAAGGTTTGGGAGTGCGTCAACCAGGAATCGAACCCCGGACCACATTTAGCGCGGTTGGCGAGTCTCCTACGTCTGAAACACCGACTCTTGCTCAACTACAGTTACGTCTTATAAAACAGATGGTTTTTCATAGGGAACAATTAGAAATATTTAAACGAGCAAATAAATAAATAAAATATCGGGATCATTAATACTTCTCGAGATGTTTCTCAGCCAATTATGTGCTACAACATGTGAGGGTTGTAGGATTATTTTTGCCTACAGATTTAGTCCTTCCTCAATACTGACGACACAGAGTCTTGGCTAAACTATAGTTAAAAACAGAATGACTTGACTTAAACTTTATCTGTTTCTAAAACATAAAATAAATCATACAATTACACCAAGAAAAATATACAAATCCATTGTCATTCAAGAAAGGACAAAAACGTACCGAACAGTATTGAGGGAACGGACAAAATGAAGAGTTAATCAATTACATGTACACACAAATAGAGTGACAGAGAACAAAGAACACTCAAGGTCACATCACGTGGTGTGAGTTACATTAAATTGACCAATAATCGTGACAAGAAGGTCATATCATACTGATTAGCTGTCTATCATATAGCCTATCTATCTATCGCGATTAACAAGGGTATCGACCACTGGAAGACATTTAGGATGGCATTTCAGAGGTTTTTACATTACATAAATCACGCGTTCTAATTAGATTGCTTTTAGTGAGACAGGAGAATTTGATAGGTTAAACGAGAACATTAAACGTAGTATTCAGTAATAAATTTCGTAATCTAAAACTAACTGCTTAAAAACTGTGTGTGCGTCGGTGGCACAGTGGTTAGGACTCTCGCCGGTCATGCATATGGTCCGGGTTCGATCCCCTGCCGACGCACACCCGATATCTATGGTCGGCCTGCAGAATTCGGGCTACCGATATCCATGCTGAAAATGCCATACTTGTACTGAAAATACGGTGTGGCATCAAGCTGTAACCAAAAATTTTAAAAAAATAAAACTGTAACCTTTAACGACCAAAGGACATATGTACTGCTCAGCAGTCCGCCCCGTCCTCCATTATGGCTGTGAGTAAAACCTGGCCATTGAGAGTAGAAATGAAAATCTTGCCTAGCTGTCTTTGATCATAGGTATCTGCGTTCTGTCTCCCGTGTGAAGTGGTATAATAGGGTGAGCAATATTGAGGTTACGAGTCGAGTGCTAGATAAGGAGTGAGGGGGAAATCAATAGACGAGGCTATGAAGTTACATCGATTGAGATGGTTAGGACATGTGGTACGCATGCATCCCTAACCATCGATCACCTTCCTGGACGGGCAATGTTAGCTGACATAGGGTCAGGCTGGAAAAGGACTAGCATATGGCGTTCTAACCAAAACATGGATTCACCAGTCGATGAAATCCACAACAGTTAGTTTCAGCCACATAGGAAGGTGTAGACTTCTTGGCTGGTTGGGGTCCTCTGGACGGTAAACACCAATGGCAGGAGACAATTGGTAATATGACTGGCTCAAAATCGCTCTCAATGGCTGGCGCAGATGCATCCACTCCTTGTGACTTATAATTTCCAATGGAACGATATTGTTCTTCGTTATTACTATTCCTTTTGTCTCATATCTCTGTCTACTGTCTGTATTTTGCATTTCTTGTACTTTCTTCTCTTGCTTTGTGTGCTACATGGAGTGTGGCGATTTGAACCGCTGCACATCGGTGCAAAGTTCTACCGCGAAACCAACCAGTCAGCCTTTAACAAAACAATACCCAGATACATCATTAAACAATAACTATTAAAATCAACTGCACAAACATAACGAAAATGAACGCCTGCTAATGATCTACCCAAATGACAACTGCTACAACATTAAAGTGACGTGTTCTACTGACAAAACTTATCAGTAATATATTATGAGATGTTCATTGGCAGAAAAATATCAAATAACCGAGAGATAGATTTTACATTAGAGAGGGCAAGTGAAAACAAGACAAACAAACACAATACGAAGGGTAGGAGTAGCACACCCCCGAAGATCTGTGCAAGTGACAATTTCCATTATAAGACGGTGGACATAACTTCCCTATATCATAAAGACATCAAATTCCAAATAAACATTCTGTTACTAAATCTCTTTTCATCTACCGTGTTATACGAGAATATAAGGACTGAATGGATCTAGGAGTTGACGAAAACTGAATGCATCTGAGCGCATCATTGAGAACAATTTTGAGCCACATTATCATTACAAGTCTCCAACCATTTGGTTTTTAGAATCCCCGACTCCAACCGGGCAATCAACATCTGGTGACTACTCCTCAGATAATCATAGAATGAATGAACACTGATCCATGAAACCACTAATAATCAATCTGAAGGACTTTAATAGCTAGGAATTGTTATTTATGGATATTGTAATCCAGCTATATATATCCATATACATATATATGTATATATATAGTCATTTAAAAAACAACGTCTGAAAACTTTTCACCTCATAGTAATTATACTATGACAAAAATCAACTTACCACATGTTTTTCAATAGTGCCAAGTTGAGCAAATTGATTGAGAATGAATGCAGCTCGAGATGGTGGAAACCTTGAGTGAAGTAATAAAAGAAGAGTACAGAATAATACTTGGAAGAGACAAAGGTTACGAAAGAATAAAGCTATGCAGTCAACGTTCTGTTTAATAGTTTCTTCATACATTTGGTTCCCTTGATAAATTTCCATAGATATAGAAAGACCAGATTTGCAATATAAAATAATATCATCATCCTATTTCACAAGTTCTCGTCAGCTGCAAACTACCTGAAATTACAATGGTTATGAATTATAAGATTTCATACTTCATTGTTTGAAAGGTAATAGAGAAGACATTATAAGATGAACGTTTCCGGAATATAAGTATTACAATACTTTTTAGATTAAGTTAACATCAATTTATATACTATCAAACTATGAAAAAACATATTAAGCATACAAAGGACAGCGAATCTACTACGATTTACTGCTGCAACAATTGCAATCAAACGTCTCAGAGGAAACTTATGCACACAGAAATCGAGAGTGTAGTCAATCTCTCACTCCCTTGGTAACCATGTCACTTTCATTACACTGGTTAGTCATGCACACTAGTGAGCTCAGGTCACTAAGCAAGTTTTCAAATTGATGAACTTTGACCTTCTTGAGTTGCTATGTTGATGTGCAAGCTAACACTTTTATTAGATTCTTCTGTCTTCTCTCACCCCCCTTCCTTTCTGTTTTTTCATAGTTTGATAGTATATAAATTGATGGTAACTTAAACTATAAAGTATTGTAATACTTATATTCCGGAAACGTTCATCTTATAATGTCTTCTCTGTTACCTGTCAAACAATGAAGTATGAAATCTTATAATTTATAATCATTGTAATTTCAGGTAGTTTGCAGCTGATGAGAACCTGTGAAATAGAATGATATCATATCAATAGATTTTTTCTTTAGATATCATCAACTCTTCTCAAAGTCCTAAAAAATATGCAGATATCTTATGTTATCCTCTCACTGATACATTTTAAGAATATTTTACCAGAAATATTGTGCCAGCCGTTTGGAAAGACATTAAAGTTATGCCTATACCAAAGTCATCTACTGGGACATGTGTTAAATTTAACTATGGAAAAGGTGCTTTGACTTAATCTTGAACCTTCACTTAAAGCCTTTACTGATTCCAAACAATTTGCCTACAAACATAGTAGAAGTACTTCAGATGCAACTGCAGTCTTGCATAACAACATCGTCTCTAGTTTAGACACATCTGCTTTTCACTCGATGGTACCTAGGGATATTTTGTTAAATAAGCTTGTTGAAACTCAAAATGAGTGTTGAGTTGTCAAACGGCTGCATTCTTATTTCTCAGGAAGAAAGCAGTACACTGTATGTCAGGGGAAGTCGTCCAATTCATTGCTTACTACGGCTGGCGTCCCTGAAGGTGCTCTTCTTTCTCCTTTTCTGTTTCCTTTCTTCTTGCATGACTTGCTTCACTTTGATGAAAAGAACTTTACTAAGTATGCGGACGATCTAACTGTCTCAGTGCCTGTTAACTTCCAGATAGGCTGTACTAAGATGAATGGCTTTCTATCAGGAGTTAGTAAACGGGTCTTCATCAAATGGTTTTAAACTTCCAAATGTGAGGCTGCTAAATTCAGTTTCCGCTGTAAAAGAAAGTTATGTGGAGCTGTTAATTCCCACGACCGTTGCAAAATTGATAATACTGACACAGAAATCAAGTCTGGCGTTAAGTACTTTAGACTCATTTTTCCGCCTGGTCTATCCTGGTCTTCCCACTTCTCAGCGATTTCTAGTAAAATATTCCGTCTACCTCCTTACATTAAGAAGTTAAGACACTTAGGCATAACTCCACAAACCCCTTCTCTTATAATTTGTCAACTATTTCATCTTACCTATTCTTCTTTATTCTTTCCTCTTATTCTTTCCTGGAATGCTTCAAAAGGACTGTGTCACACTTCATAGAACTCAGAAGACTGTCAGTAGGCCGAGTGGTATCCCATTGGCCTATGTCGTTGACATCGTCATTGATAAGCACTTGATTTCATGCAACAAATTCGCTAAAGTCATTTAGTCAGACTGTCAATATCCACTTTACCCTCACCTTTCACCTTGTATCTCCTCAGGTAGAACAAGAAGTCACTTCAAGAGACTTTATGCGTGCACGTCTAAGCATAAAAATTCCACGATACCATGCTGTGCACGTATTTTATGTGATGGAAATAGTATCAGGCACGAACTAATTAACTAACTTTCTTTCCACTAGTAAATAAACAATTTCCTTCGTCCTTATACCATCAACTCTTACTGTTATTATTGCTCCTATATTTATAGTCCTCTCATTTTTTTGTAAACACCATTTAAGCTCTGTAGTAGCTGTTATTTTTCGTTTACCCCCCCCCCCCACCCACTATGCTGCTATGTCAAAAGAACATTAAATTCAATACTGAATAACATGCCAAGATTTCTACAAACTGTAATGACAATATTGTTTTAAACAAACCTACTGTTATTATTATTGTTATTATTATTATTATTGTCATGGTTACTATTCGCATTTTATACTTTGCACATTTCTGATATTATTCCCACTGAAAATATGGAAAGGTACCTGTCGTTAAATTTTATTTATATTTTGAGTAAATAATTCGATGCAATATTGCGACAAATGCTGAGAATTCCATTCTGTATCACAAGTACAGTTTTGGAATAAATCGCACCATTATTATTATTATTATTATCATTATTATTATTATTATTATTATCGTAAAACAACTGGTATCAGTTGATAAAAGTCAGACATCCTTTCAGTCCATGATGAAATCTCTACGTAGCTGGACAGACAAAACAGAAGAAATAGGATAAACATTACAAGTACGTTCACAACCACTTGTCTACCACCACCGATTATCCGAGGAAGATTTCAATATCGTGAAAATTTCCATTTTGACAGTTAGAAGAAGAAGAAAAGATTGAGCAAAGAATATCCAAGGAAGCATTGATACCTACTAGTTCTGAAGAAACAAATTTGCAATCGGGAACTACAGTACTCTTAAAACGTCGATCACAGTGTTAAGAAGAAAACATTTTTACAAAGTCACTTGCATAATCCATTATTTTATTGAAGGTCAAAAAGGACAGATGTCGACCAAACTGAAGTAAGAGCGAACAAGTAATGTCCCCCCCCCCCAACCAGAAGTACAAATTTGACATAAAGTGCAAAGAGTCGATATTTTCGATAAATGCCTTGCCTGACTGACTGACTGACTAGTTTCAACATAGAACTTTGCACAGATGTACAGCAGTCCGAGTTGCTACACTCTCTGCATGTACCACACAAAGCATGAGAAGAGAGTAAACAGAGATTCATCAAAGCCGAGATAATAAACAGAAGTGTGAGTGAGGGATAAAGAATAACAATGTGGAAGAACAACAGTCTACATTGTTACTAAATTCCCGGTGTCTGATAACTGTCACATAATTTAACTTAATAATAATAATAATAATAGATTTCACCTCTTTATAGTCGTGGTGACCCATTCACTTCCAATAAAAGTTCTAAGACGATTTCACAATCAGCCAAGCAACTACAACCTCAGAAAGATATCTAAGACACTTTCTTATAAAGAACTGAATACAGTTATCAAGGCACTCCTATCAATAACACTTCATATATATTTATCAGTACAGTAAACAAAATGGAATGAACTACATAGCGCGCACACTAGCCAATATCATCGGTGGTCAGTATTTGTCCTCACATCCGACCCGTTATACCCCATTGGTCATGACTTCCCACTAGAACACAGGGATTTGTGACTGGTTAAAGGATTTCATCATGAGCTTACATCAGTTAGACGACCATTTGAAAACCAGTACTGGAGTATTGGATAGCTAGTTCGTCTTAGTTTGGGACTCTTTATCAGTACGCACCCAATGGGATTCGAACTCAGGACCTTCCCGTTACAAGGCGAGGTTAGAATTCATGGACTAGCCATTGGGTCGGGTCCCAGAGGCTTAACGGCCATCTATGAACTCGCCTTGTAACCAGAAGTTTCTGGATTCGACCTCTGACGGTGGGTGCACACGGTGAAGAGTCCCAAACTAGGACGAAACAACTGACCAATACTCTAGTACTGGCTTTCCAATGACTGTCTAACCTATTTCAGCTCATAATGAAATCCTGTAACCAGTCCTATCGCTGCAAACCACCAACACTTGAAAATGGAATATATTTCAAATAGTCAACAGACTTACCCAAAAACAGTCACCCAACAATCGTGTAGATTTGCAGAATCATTATCGTTGAAACTGTGAGTGAAATAAATAAATAAATGAATCAAGAACAGTAAAATGAATTTATTTACATTCAATACAGGTTTATATAATTAGATGTTGGAATATTAATCAATGGAATTAAGATTACATACTTAATGATTTCAGTTAATAGAACCATTTCAAACTCAGGCTTCAATCTGAAGGTTAATTTGATTACTACTTAATCATTTTTAACCTCTTTTAGTACATGAATAGAAGAATAAACAATTCAGCGAAGAGTCTCTTGTCGACGGTGAATTCACTCAATTAGCCGCTACCATCGCATATATATATATATATATAATTATTTTTCTGTATGTGTGTTGGTACATTAGGTTCGTCAGATAAGAATAAAAACTAGTTAGGCTTATTGTTTACGTTACCAGCATATTTCAAAAGCTGTGATGAGTAATCAGACTGTAACGAGGATGGGAGAATGAAGATTAGTAAGTCTTAAATAGGTTTACGTAACATTAAAAACATCCAGAAAAATAGGATGTTAATGAAACAGCATGGAGACAAGTATCCAGAATAAATTATGTAGTAAGTAAAAAGATTAAAAAAATAGGGTTAGCTAAAAAAAAGATGTTACCACAACGGTATACAAAAAATTCACAAAATAGTATTCACAACAAAATAGTCGAACTTGGAGTTATACCCAAGGGGTAGAAGAAGCGGATGGAGAAGTTTCTTCTGTGTACATAAAACATAGGGTTTTCCATCCGAATTGCTAAGGCCTCCTCAGCAATGCAAAGTATACGGAAGCTTACCGTTTTCGGGAGGTTCATTTTGACTTTATAGATGAATTTGAATAAATTCTCCTCACACAATGAATGACTGGTGTTGAATACATGTACACTTAGAGCACTCTATATTGATCTACTAATACCTTTTCATAGACAAGTGGGGTAATGTTCTTTGACTCTTTTAGATAAAACACGCATCGAACAACCTGTATGTCTCACTTTACATGGACAATGAAATTTGTAGATACACATAGAAGTGGTCAAATGCGACAGTTTATCTTTAGACTGAATCAATTCATCGAAAAGAGACTCTTCACTGAACTGTTTATCCTCTTATATTCATCTCTGGATACTTACCTTTTAGGATGACACAGTTAGTAAACAAATCTGTCACACTAACCAACTGGCAGCTCCATCAAAATAAAATTTCATCCATATTGGAGCTCTATGTAGACGCAATAAACAAACTGTAAGTTGTGTGCATTACACATCGAGTGTTTTCACACTACTTTTGCTTGACTGACTAACTGGTTTCAATATGGAAGTCTGCAAAGATGTGCAGCAGTTCGAGTTGCCACACTCCCTGCATGTAGCACACAAAGCAAAAAAAGGAAGTAGAGTTTCAAAAGGAGGGATAATAGACAGAAGTTTGAGGCAAAACGATAATGTCAAGCAGTTAACTTTACCTTCAAGCATCGACGTGACATACATGAACTAGTTAGTTCCCATGATGCCTGTAGCATAGATGGCACAGAAATTGAAACCAAGTCAAGCATTAAATACCTTGGATTAGTTCTTTCCTCTGACCTTTCATGGTCATCCCACATTTTATTGATCTCTAAGAAAATGTTTCGTCTTACCTTCTACATTAAAAAGTTAAGACAACAAGGTACCAACCAACCTTTAGTTCTGCAATTTTTAAACTCCTGTATTTTACCTATTGTACTCTATTGTTCTCCATTAATCTTTCCTGGGCTTCTTAAAAAAGACTATGTCATATTACGAAGGGTATTAAATGCTGTGAGTAGGGCTTGTGGTTTGCCACTGCGTGAGCTCGCCAATACTATAGTCGAGAAACGCATAAATTCCTGTACAAATTGGGCAAAGGCCGTACTGTCAGACCCTCTGCACCCTCTTTATTCACAACTATCCCCTTGTATCTCATCAGGTAGAACGAGAAGTCAATATAAGAAATTATGTGCTCGTACCACTAAGTACAAAAATTCTACAATATCGTATTTAGCCCGTATTTTATGTGATGAAGACTCTGTTAGACGTGAAACATATAAGTTACTATGTAATTAACACAGTGAATTGACCCCTTCATTGTTCATCTTTCTGTAATTCTATGGTGTCACCCTTTCTATCGTTTAATTATAACTTTGCTATTTTTATTTTAGTTGTTATTGTTACTATTATTACTATAATTTTATACTTTATGCGTGTTTTTCTCCTTATCGTATACTGTAATTGCTACGTAGCTGCTATAAAAACGTTTTGTTATCATTATTATGTATTAACTATTTCGTTTATTTATTTTTTGTTGTTGTCGTTTTTGAGTAAATTAGATGCAATATTGTACTGAATGCTGAAAATTCCTTGCTTTATCATTAATACTGTTTTTGGAATAAAGCAAAATTATTACTATTATTACTATTATTATTATTATAAGGAAGGACAAAACAATTTTATTGGATACTATAAATCATACAGCGTGAATGCATCTGCGCCATTGAGAACGATGTCCAGCCATATCACCAACCATTGGTTTTTACCATCCCAAGAACACCAACCAGGAAGTCTACACCTCCCTACGCGACTAGCTTAAACTAACTGTTGTGTATTTCATTGACTGATAAAACCATGTTCTGGTTTGACCGCCATATGCTAGCTCTTTTCCAACCTGATCCTATGTCAGCTAACATTGACCGTTGAGGAAGGCGATGTCCTAACCATCTCAGTCGATATGACTTCACAACCTCGTCGAGCACGGAGACAATAGGCGACATGGCTCAAAATCGTTGTCAATGGCGCAGATGTATTCAGTCTCTGTAATCTTTCATATTCCTTTCTACCATTATTCATTCTGTTTCACTCTTATACTTGTCAAAACTCTATTGATTCTCTTCACTCATCTTCTTGTCTACCTTTGTGTACTATTTGGAACGTGGCAACTCTAACTTCTGCACCTTGGTGCCAAGTTCTATGTTGAATCCAGACAGACAGACAGAATCCGGAACCAATTAACACATAGGTCATTTTTTCCGCTATTTTTAATCAACCTCAGTAGCAACAAATAGACAAAGAGGTATAAAAACTAACTTTACAACAAAAGCAACATAAATTGATGACATAGATAAAGCAATCAACGCATATCCATGGCATTGTAGAAACCTTAAATCATTACCATACAGCATTGATTATTCAATGGTGTCAGAGTTTGAAGTCAGTCCGAAGTCAGCTTAATTGTTAATGGGCAATAGAATGTTAAGAGTAAATATGAAAGACTCAATAATTACCTTTGATGTGTAAGCAGTGCTTCAGCTAAACGATTAGGCGTTATCAAACCATCTTGCTTATTAACCAAACCATCATTTGGATTTCCTGTGACACTATTATTATTGTGTAACGGAGATCCAATGAAAGATGTAGAATTATTTCCAATATTATGCAAAGGAGTACGATGGAAACTTGGATCACCGGGTGATTGGAATGGACTTGCAGTTCCCAACCTTTTCATTGATGGATTTACTGGTGTGCTGGCAGCAAGAATTGGTGTGCTGTGTTTAACACCACCAAAATTGTCTGAAGTGTTTTTAGCAAGAACACCGGTAGCATTAACAGACGACCACATACTTCGTGTTGGAGGGGATGTTAAACGACGTGCAATTGTATCCTGCGGTTGGCTCATATATCGTGGTTGCAGTTTATTTACATTATGTTGAGGAGCCTAAAAGTAATGCAATGAAAGTACAAAATCAACTATCGCAGAAAGAAAAGAGTACAAACCCAAAAAGTATATCCCCTTTAAATGCTTAGCATAAAGTATTTACCATACCATAGTGTTCCGGGATATCTGATTTAAGTACCAACGAAGACCAAGTCAGAAAAAATTGATTTTCAACATTGACCAAGTGGTCTTAAAGACTCTACTAAACAATTCATGAGCCAGTGAATCGGGTCCCATTGCCTGAATGGTATACCAGCTTGCCTTGTAAGCGGAAGGTCCTGGGTTCGAATCCCAGTGGGTGCGTACTGCCGATGATTCCCAAACTAGGATGAAACAGCTGTCTAGTACTCCCTGGTTTTCAATGGCACTACAACTGATATCAATCCGTGATCAACTCGTAAAAACATAACTAACCATTACAAATCAAACTATAGAAAATAATCATTATTTGAAGAGGTCATATCTTCGACAGAGATGAATAGCTTCCTACTCTACACGTTTACACAGTGAATATGAGAACTGACTGACTGCCAGTAGTATTTAATCCGATCAAATTTTACAGATTCAACTCTGAAACACACCAGGTATAAGATCTAGTCATAATATCCTACTGAATGTTTAGACTTTAGAACCCAAGACCTACTGATTGACACAGACGACTTGAACAGCGATAGGCTACAGCTTTACAGACAAATAAAAGAAAATTTGCAGTAGTAAGCTTGTAACGACAGAAGGCAAGAGTCAGCCAACAGATCATTTATTAAGGAAATCAACGCATATTTATATATATTTGCATGTACATTACTATGGGTATTTAAGTAAACAAACACAGTCTTCCGATTGGTTGTTTCTCACGTAAAGTTAATCTTTCATCTATTTGTGACTGTTTCTTGAATGTCAAATCACCTATATGTTAACTGCATCCGCCCACGCAAAGTCTGCTGTGGCCGGTTTTGAATCAATCTTTGTTGACATTTTCTCACGACAAATCTTGGGAACGTAAATATTGACGTAAATTACTGTCTACCAATTTGGCTAGTAGACAGCTCTCACCACAAGCTGAAGTGTACAGGCTAGAAAGCCAGGTAAAAAATTAGCCTTTTATCACTATAGGAAAGGATTTCATAGTATCACAAGATTCATGCTCAGATCATTTAGATAACGTCAGCTAACTTAAAGTTGCAGATAAGTTTCACTGAGCGAGAAAAATAGTGAACCTCCCCTCCCCAACCGATCCTCCTACCACCCATTACAGTAAACAACGTAACAGCATTAGCAGTCTAGTATCAGCATCGCTTTACCTGAACTGCTAGTCACAATATGAGCACACTTTGTACACTCTAGGCTGCACATAGAATTTACAAAGCCCATAGGTTACAGTAAAGTAGGATAAACTTTAGAAATGGTTTATTAATTTGATTTTTATGACGTGACTATGATTAGTCTTATTGTTAGTTTGTGTTTGCGTTTAACATGCCAAAATGTAAAAGTGCTGCTATCTACTGAATTTCGCTTTAGTCTGTAAGCATAACTTACGCAATTCAATCAGCTAAACAGGATGGTAAATAAGCAAATTATAACAGAATAGATTTTAATAGATGACTACGATTGAAATATGAACATATGAAACAGTCAGTTCACCTTCAATAAAATTAACATCTAGTTTAAGTGAACAACTCAAAATCGAACCGAAGTTAGTTAGTCTTATGTCTTTCAATAGAAAGTCTAAGATGTCTAACACACGCACAGGGTGAATCCACAGCCGCACATAAAGAAAAAGTGGTCCTAAATGTACACTGAAAACGACTGACTGACTGACTGATTAAGTGAGTTTCAATACAGAACTTTGCACAGAAGTACAACAGTTCAAGTTGTCATACAAACTGATCATTTTCTAATAGTTATGCAACGAATTTCAACCTATTCAAGACCAAGAACTTGAAGCGAAGATAAATGCACAGATACAGAAAAATACAAGAACTGGTTAGAGTACACAGTAATCCAAATTATGATTATGATTATGAGAAATAAATTGTGCTCGAAACGTCATCAGTAAACATTACTGTATAACACTGTGAAACTTTATCAAAATAAAATTTACCCATAATGGAAGTAGTTCAAATCGTTGTAATTTATTTTCGTTGGCAAAGTGGAGAATGAAGAATTTTAAAAATAGGACATCAGTTATAAAACTTGGAAATAAGAGTAAACAGAAAGTATAACAAAAGGAGAATTAAATGAAAACAGAGCGCAAGTAAACCTCCACCAGTGAATTTTACTTTACATCATAACTATCTAAAGACTTCAAACTTTGATCAGCGTTGTCAGGCAAAACCCAACTACAAACACCTACACAATACAGCTGAAAAAAGACTAGTCATGTTTTCATTTGACCATCCCTTTAATTTTCTTTACATTCTTACTACATTAGACAAAGCTGCACTTTTCCATTGGTAATGGATCGATATGTTTAACAAACATTGCAATTATGACTCGCTTTTTACGCCAAGAATTCTACAACTTTAGTCTCAAAATGCGAATAAAACTTCCGAATATACAAAAATTGATTCTGTATTTTAAAAAATGTCAACTTCCAACAATAGGCGAAACCTTGAAACCTAGTCGATTTATACAGACGTTCATTGTGATTTAGATATCGATTTTAAAAGCAGCTTTTTTTTATCAAATGTGTAATTAGGCAATTATAAAACTCACTAGCATATTATATGCGTTCCCAGACAGAGGGGAAACAGGATTTTGACGTGGAATCTTGGATTCAGTTGATTGTGCATTTGCCATCTGTGGATTTTCACTCATGAGAAATCCTGGAAGATACTGACAAGCAATTGGAGATGTGGTTCCACTTGGAGGAGATCCCAGAGCCATTGGCTCGTTATGATTGAAAGTGACACCGTTCATTATTTACACTGGAGAAAAAGAAAACAATACACAAACATTTGAATATATATATATATATACATATATGACAAGGGAAGACTACGCCTTCATTGGGCATCAGTTCATACTATGGATAATGACTAAATTATACTAGGAGGTACAAACTGAAAACTCTGAAGACAAAGTATGTAACACTTCAGTAAGTGAGACCACTTTTGAGTAATAGATATTAAATTTAAACACCACTGCAGTTACTTTGATTAAAATTACAAACTCTGATCTTAGTGAACCACCTTACACAGTATAAAAACCGTTCATCACTGACTACCAGATACCCTGATCATCCTTGATCCCTGTCATCCTCATCATCTTGCTTCCCTACTTTTGTCAGTACTATTCTGCAGGCTAGTCAGTCACCTTCATTCCATTCTGTGACCACAAATAACAATGAGTCAGAAAACACTACCGAGAACCTCTTAAAGCCACGCCACCAACTTCATATTGGAGCATTTAACGTCAGGACCCTCTGCCAAATTTGGACAACAGGCATCACTAGCAAGAACTCTGGCATCTCGAGTCATGGATGTATGCTGTGTTTCGGAGTCACCCATACAAAACCGGTGTGGTTACTCGCTTATCCCACCCGGACAACTAGATGGATCTTTAAAATTCATCTTAAAGGTGCCAAGAGACTCCTCAGTTAGTTCGCGAGGACTCGAAGGTGCAGGGATTGTTAATCGCGACAGATAGATAGACTGTATGATAAACAGCCAATCAATATTATGTGACCTTTCTTGTCGCGATTATTGGCCAATTTATTGTAACTCTCACCACGTGATGACCTTGAATGTTCTTTTTTGTCTGTCACTTTACTTGTATATACATGTAATTAATTGACTGTTCATTTTGTCCGTACCTACAATACTGTTCGGTACGTTTTTGTCCTATTTTTGTAATGACAATGGATTTGTACATTTTTCTTGGTGTAATTGTATGGTTTATTTTATGTTTTAGAAACAGATAAAGTTAAGTCATCCTGTTTTTAACTATAGCTAAGCCGAGACTCTGTATCGTCAGTATTGAGGAAGGACTAAATCTGTAGGACAAAAATAATCCTACAAAGTTTCGAACAGTATGTCAGATGAAAGTTATGAAACTATGCCGTCGTTAACTCCACAATTAGGAAAGAGTAATGAAGCTGATTTCCTTGGAAGCAACGAGTATGAATCACGCTATATGGTAGAATTGGAGCTAGCGAAATTGCGCATAGTCCAAAAGGAGAAAGAAATGGAATTAGAAAGATTACGACAAGGTAGTCGCGAATGTTCTTGTCACAATAAATCGCTTTACAAACCTTCTACTTCTCATAAAGTCTCTGTATCTCTTAACGATGACTTCGCTGGAGGCATATCTAAGTTTCTAGACATGCTTAAAAGATATCAATATTTTAAGATGGATGCTGATGAACTTGAGTGTTGGATCAATGAAAAACTGCAAACCTATGCAAACGAGGATTTTAAAGAACTCAGTAATCTTCAGCTGAAAAAACAGAAACATCAAGAGCTTGAGTTAGAAGTAACAGTTCATGCTGAAACACTGTCAGCTCTGGATTATGCGGCAGAAGAAATGATTGGTCAGGGGTACTACGCAACAGATATTATCAAAAACCGTCTTGATGAATTGCATGCCCTGTGGGAAAGGCTTATGGCTATTTTCAGAGAAAAATCCAGTGTCATTAACCTAAGGCTTAAATTTGTCCAGTTTTTACGCCAAGTCGACGAAATACTTTTCTGGATACGTGAAAACGAAACTTACGTAACATCAGAGGATTTAGGTCAAGACTTGGAAGATGTTGAGACACTTCAAAAAGGGTTTAATGAGTTTACAAAAGATCTCGAGAATCAAGAAAGTCGTGTCGAAGACATCTATCGGAAGGCAGATGAACTTCTAAAAGAGAAATTTCCTGAGGATGCCCTAGTCATAGAAAAGTTCAGACAGGTCCGCGAAGCTCTAGAACGTCTGAAGGATCTGGTTAGAAAACGACAAGAAAAGCTCCTGGAAGCCTATGAGATACAGTGCTTCTTTAGAGACACAGATAAAGCTATATCGTGGGTGAATGAAAAGTCTATTCCCTTATCCATTGAGGACTGTGGTCATGATCTTGCTTCAGTCCAAGCCTTACAAAGGAAGCATGAAGCATTAGAAAGGGATTTGACTGCCCCAGATAAAAAGATTGTTCAACTTGGAGACGATGCTAAGGCGCTTGCACAGAAGCATCCTGATTTGCAAGACACTATACAAGGCAAGTATGACGCCTTAATTACTGCATGGGATAAGCTGAAAAGTCAGGCTGTAGATAGGAGAGATAAACTGGAAGAGTCATTCAAGATGCATCGCTTTTTGGCTGACTGGAGAGACTTGAGTATCTGGATGAATAACATGAAGGCGTTAATATCGGCAGATGATTTGGCAAAGGATGTAGCTGGTGCTGAAGCCCAAGTAGAACGACATAAGGAATACACCTCTGAGATAAATTTTCGAGCTGACACTTTCGATGCACGCATGCAAGAAGGTCAGGCATTACTAAGTGTTGGCCATCCCTGTAGTGAAGACATAGCTGCTAAACTTTCCACCCTTGAAAGAGAGAGAGCCTCCCTGATGCAGTTGTGTGAGGAAAGACGTGAACAGCTAGAACAGTGTATGGGCCTTCAGTATTTTTACCGCAACGCTGAACAGTCGGAATCTTGGATTGGTAAGCAAGAGGCCCTCCTAGAAATAAAAGATGTGGGAGACTCATTAGATTCTGTGGAAGCACTAATAAGGAAACATGAAGACTTCGAAAAGTCGCTTCTAGCCCAAGAAGAAAAGATGCGACAACTTGGTGAATTCGCTGCAAACTTAATCGAGTCAAACCACTATGCGGCTGCACAGGTTCATGAGATTCAGGAAGGTCTTCAAAGCAGACGAAATGCATTAAAAGAGAAAGCTCATAACCGCCGTCAGCATCTTCAAGATTCCCACCGTTACCAAATGTTCGATAGAGATGCAGATGAAATGCAGTCATGGATATCAGGAAAACTTAAAAATGCACTTGATGAAAGTTACAAAGAGTCCACGAACTTGCAAACAAAGGTGCAGAAGCACCAGAATTTCGAGGCAGAAATACAAGCGAACCAATCCCGCGTTGAAGATATTGAAAAGACAGGTCAGGATTTGTTAAATGCAAACCAATACAACTCACTAGAAATAAAAGTAAAGATTGAACAGTTGGATGAAACTTGGTCTCATTTCGTAAATGCCATGGGAGACAAGAAGAAAAATTTAGATCAAGCAAGTAGGCAACAACAGTTTGCTCGCAACATAGATGTCGAGTTATGGTTGAATGATGTTGAAGCTCAGATAGCCTCAGAGAATGTCGATCGTGATCTAAACAGTGTGATCAACGCACAAAAGCGGCACAACTTGCTTGAATCTGATGTAGCTGCTCATCGTGAACGTATAGATACATTCAAAGTCCAGGCTGACACGCTTGCTGCAGAAGGTCATTTCGACGCTCCTATTATCCAAGAAAAACAGAGACAGTTAGCCCAACGTTACCATGACCTGCAAATCCCTCTAAGTCAACGTCGTGAGAAGTTAAGAGATGCCCTTCTCTTGGACACATCTTTGCAGCTTGAATATGGTGACTATAGTGAGCTGATGAAGTTACTAGTCGATTGTTGTAAAGATTTTAAAGCATATCCGCTTAACCAAATTGAATCAGAAATGTGGCATCAGTATGCTGAAAGCTTCACTAATGGCTCATTAGCCACTCACAAAGATGCCTTCAGGTTATGGGTTAAAGATAAGAACCCTGTTGTTGAAAACTACATTGGGTTTATAGAGTCATCCTGTGATCCCTTTGGTGTTCGTGCAAGGTTTGAATCATTTGTCGCAGTTGTCAATAGATCAGTGTCTAAAAAATTCCAACGACTTGTAAATAATGCTGAAAGGTTGTTAACAAGTTTACCATGGCCTTATACGTTTGAAAAAGTTAATTTCTTACAGCCAGACCTTACTAGTTTGGATGTAGCGACGTTTGAAACTGCTGGAATTCCTGTTAGAACTAATATTCCTAACTATGATGATGTACGACAAGTTGATGGATTTAAAAATGTTTCTTTGGATAATGTACTTAGTGTTCGTCTCGAGGATCCTAAACCAGAATTTCTACGTAATGAAGACAAACAAATGTACGTGGAACATGCTGAAAGTTCCTTTGAATTACAAGTTGGACTTCATGAACTGATGGCATATGGTTCTGGTAAACTGTTTTGGTGTGATTGTTATGGAAAACGAAATTTCCACAGGAAAACTACTGAATATGTCATAAATGGAGGTCCTGTAAAAAGTTGGTGTGAACCAGGAGAAACGTATGACAGCAAGTTTTCAAACCTTTCATCTGCAATAGACAAGTGTCAAGCTGAGTGCGTTGGAATTTATTTATCTGATTTACCTCTTGTTCTGGAGCAGTTCGGTCTGAATACCAACTGTGCTCAAGACAATGCCCCAGATGCAGTCTATATTAATTGGTTGTCAATGATTCCTTCAGTAGTAACTTCCATGAAGTTTTATTCTCCGACAGAAAATGCTGATGACATTGGATCATGGTGTCAAGCACATTATTGTGCTTGTTATGCGATTCTGCGAGTTTTGATTGAAGCTGACGATTCTATGGGACGTACACATAAAGTAGTCGGTGAGGACGATGCATTTGATTTGTGTATTTCCTTGGATTCAAAAGGACTTTTAACTGCGGCTCGTTCAGCAATTGGTGAATTCTTAAGAAATTTACAATATTACAAAGGTAAAGAGAATGCTATGTATGGATATGCTTTCTTCCAACACTATAGTCAACTACTTCCAAAATATTTGACTGATTTGCTCTGGCATAAATGGCTACGCGGATATCTGATGCTGCGAACAAGATCTAAGTGGTTGGATATAAAGCACAACCTACAACCTGATGATCTCGTCTTAGTTACCAGTTCTGAAACACAGAGAGGTCTCTGGCGAAAGGCTATAGTTAGGCAGATGTACTATGACCAAGATGGCCACGTCAGGACACTGTGTTTGAAAACTTCAACTCAAGAAGTGGAACAAGATATAAGAAGCGTACGAAAGGTCAACGTGGTGGTCGTTCGCGGGGAGTGTTAATCGCGACAGATAGATAGACTGTATGATAAACAGCCAATCAATATTATGTGACCTTTCTTGTCGCGATTATTGGCCAATTTATTGTAACTCTCACCACGTGATGACCTTGAATGTTCTTTTTTGTCTGTCACTTTACTTGTATATACATGTAATTAATTGACTGTTCATTTTGTCCGTACCTACAATACTGTTCGGTACGTTTTTGTCCTATTTTTGTAATGACAATGGATTTGTACATTTTTCTTGGTGTAATTGTATGGTTTATTTTATGTTTTAGAAACAGATAAAGTTAAGTTAAGTCATCCTGTTTTTAACTATAGCTAAGCCGAGATTCTGTATCGTCAGTATTGAGGAGGGACTAAATCTGTAGGACAAAAAGAATCCTACAGGGATAGCAGTGAGTGTTAGGGCGGAAAAGTCCCAGTAGATAGTCGTATGTGTGCGGTCCGTTTGAACAGGTCCGTTAGAAGAAGGAAGGACAGCGTTACTCGTCATTTTCCTATCACAGTCTCCACTTACGTTCAAACAGACTGCAGTTTGGATGAACTAAAGGATGACTTCTACCTGAACTGTATAGTTTGCTGCAAAAAGCAAAACGTTCAAATATAGTTGTTTTAGCAAGCAACTTCAATGCCCAAATAAGGGAGTTATGTCAGACTGAGAAGTATATAGGTGGTACATACTGAGTTCCCTGCCGACGAACCAACAACGGTGATCGTCTTCTACAGTTTTGTTCAGATAATCATCTGTCAGCATTAACTTTAGGCACAAAGAGAAACATTGGCTAACCTGGCGACCTACATTACCAAATCGACGCTGGACTCAAATAAACCACATAGCGATAGGGTATTGTTGGCGAGGGTCAGTAGAAGACTACCGCTCCTTCTGAAATACATGCATAGACTCCGATCATGCCATGGTTCGTGCACGTTTATGCTTACGACAAAACGGACATAAAAATTGTTGGCAGCGAAGCAGTTACGTCCCCAACTGGATCGAGATACTGAGTTCCCATATAAGGAGGAAACAGCGAAACAAGTATCTGAGATCCTTGGGAAGCCTGGAACAACATACAGTTAGCTGTAGACACAGATGTAAAGGCTGTTAATAACCTGAAACCAAAAATTAGTAAGAACCAGTGGACTTCTACTAGTTCATCCGAATTGATTAAGGCAAGATTGATTTCGGCAAGCTCCGAAAATGATGAGGAGTGAAAGCTGCTCAAACGCAAACTGACAAGAAGTCTTCAAAACGACCGTGAACAGTGGTAGGCGGCAAAAGCAGAAGAGATGGAAAAGGCATCGGCTATTGGTAACACCAGAAAACTATTTAGGCTTATCGGGAAAACAGGTGGTAAAAGGCAAATGATAAGTGAAACAATGTCCGAGGAAATGGCAACATAATTACCTTTCAGGATAGACGACTGCAACGTTGGGAAGAACACTTTGAGGGGAAATTTAATTGGCCTACAGCCACACTCAATTTACCCAGCATCCGACACCTCCCTGAAAGGGATATACATGCAGGTCCCCCGCCCCTAACTGAGGTTACAAAAGCTGTCACTAGTTTCAAACGAGACAAAGCTGCGGGACCCAATGGGATGACTACTGAGGTGTTCAAGGACGATGGAGACAGTTTACTGTCTGCGTTAACTAAGGCATTAGGCAGCGTCTGGGAATCAGGCTGATGTAAGTCATTGATTATCACATTAACAAAAAGGGAGACAAGTCTTCCTGTGATGATCACAGAAGGATTAGCTTAACAAATACGGTATCTAAAGTTCTAGGCTCAGTAATCATGAGTAGACAAAGAGGCTCCCGTGAGGAACAAACACGAGCAAACCAGGCAGGCTTTGGACCAGGAAGAGGGTGTATTCATCACACCTTTACCCTTCAACAGATTCTGGAACATAGTCATACTTGATGGCGTCCAACAATCGTCATACTTCTCGATCTGGAACCGGTATTCGATTCCGTCAACTGAGACGTACTATGGTGATGTTTGACTGCGAAGGCAATGACGAGAAAATACATTGCAATGATCAATGCACTTTATTCGGACACATGCAGTCAGCAAGGTGAGAGCTTACGGCGAGTTGTCATTTGAAGTGGTGACAACCAGTGGTATCCGTCAGGGGTGCTCACTATCCCCATTTCTATTCAGTTTCAGCATAGATGTACTAATGGAATTAACACTAACTGATTTGACTTCAGCGACTCCGGGATTGACTTGTTTCCAGAGAATAATCTAGTTGACTTAGAATATGCAGGTGATACAGTTCTTCTGGGTGAAGACACTGACAAAATGCAGAGTATTCTGAACACCTTGGGCAGCAGTTTTCGAATGTTTGGCATGCAATTCGCTCCTCTTGTCAAATGTATGACGCTACAGGACCGGACTACATTGACTCTTAGCTTAGAAATAGGCAGTGAAGTGGTTGGTGGAGCATGTTGACCACTTTACATCAACCCCAACGAGTTGATTGCTGACAAAATTTCAGCATGGATACAGAAAGCTCGTTTGGGATACTCCAACTTAAGCCATCTCTGGTGTGGACGTGATATCCGGTTGGCTGTCGACCGAAAGGCGTGTGAACAGCTCTGCAGTCTGGTCTGTTCTCTTTTATGGTTGTGAGGGAGACATGGCCAATGAAAGTGGAAGACATGAAAAGCTTGGCTAGTTGTCTTTGATCATAGGTATCTGCATTCCATTCCCCGTGTATAACAAGTTGTATAAAAAGATGAGCAATATTGAGGTTAGGAAAAGAGGGCTAGGTAAGGAGGGGAAATCAATCGACGAGGTTGTGAAGTCATTTCGATTGAGATGGTTAGGACATCGCCATCCTCGACGGTCAATGTTAGCTGACATAGGATCAGGTTGGAAAAGAGCTAGCATATGGCGGTCAAACCAGAACATGGTTTTATCAGTCAATGAAATACACAACAGTTAGTTTAAGCTAGTCGCGTAGGGAGGTGTAGACTTCCTGGTTGGTGTTCTTGGGATGGTAAAAACCAATGGTTGTTGATATGGCTGGACATTGTTCTCAATAGTGCAGATGCATTCACGCTGCATGATTTATAATATCCAATAAAATTGTTTTGTCCTTCCATATTATTATTATCATTTCGCCTCAAACTTCTGTTTATTACCTCTCTTTTGAAACTCTACTTCCTTCCCTTGCTTTGTGTGCTACATGCAGGGAGTGTGGCAACTCGAACTGCTGCACATCTGTGCAAAGTTGCATGTTGAAACCAGTCAGTCTAAAAATGATTACGACGGTAGGGATAATCTTATGAGTGGTCCTGTCAAATTTTTCACTTTGTTGACTTAATCAATTTTGCAAACGTCGTGGATTCAACCACATATTTCAGTACTAACTGAAGAATTTGAAAATACTCACAAAACGTTAGAAGTAAATGTGAATTTGAAAAGACTTTGTCGGACAGAATTCCTCTGACACTGACAAGAGATGACCTTTAAGAACCGATCAGGAATAGGGAATGCTATGAAAGGTCATTCCAAATCAAATCATACCTTCCATTTTAGACTTGGAGAGGGTAGATACAGTATTCTACTTATTCCTTAGGTATCTTTTTATAAATCTACACCGTTAGGTATGGTTGTGCCATTTAATGTTAGGGTTTATAGTCTAGGGTTAGGATTACGTTCGAAGTTAGGGTTATGGTTGCAGCTAGGAATAAGTTACGAAAAACAGTGGATGAATGCATCTGTCACGCATGATATGATTTACCTACAGATCATCTTTGCAGTTACTGGGAGACATTTTTACGACACATATGCGACAACTTTACAGTGTGAAAGAATGTCTGTAATGTTTTAGGTGCATTTTTTAACGATTATGCGACCTTTTAGCATCTGGGTTCTGGCTGGTTGTTCAAGGTCACTGCTTTGGCAATTATAATTTAACTTTGCGTGTTTGCATCATATTGGAAGCATACAGTAGCTGGATCCATTTCTCTACTTGACTTTCAACATGTACATATCATAAAAGCATCCTCGACCACGGTTATAGAAGTCTTCAAGAATAGTCATCAATGATTCTCTGAGGCCTACTAACTCAAAGGGCACTGGATCACTGAATCACTTACAGCATTTTCTGAAATATAATAAGCTGAAGGAAAAGTCATGGATGCATACATGAGACATTGCACTCCTAAGTAGTTGGTAAAAAGGTAAGACTTTGATATTTATCCTAACCTAATTTCGAAAACCCCGATCTCAACCCTTGCCACAGTGCCAACAATAACCTAATTCAATATTTACAGTAGACTCAGTCACTCTAGAGACAAAGGTCTGGAAGACTAATCTTCACAAAAGAGACTTTGGGACAAAAACAATTGTGCGGATATCTTACCCAGAACCCAGCAGCAAAACAAGTGACCTTGGAAAAACGAACTTCCCTCTACACTCAAACTTCACCTTAGTCTTAAATTATTAAAAGCTATTACAGATTGCCAAAATCATGAAAATGTGATACTGCGAAATCTGTACTCAACTTTTCATCAGTTTTTAAATTCTAGCATTCTTCTTATTAATCATTACCGACGCCTTTCTAGCTACAAGCTTTAACATGCCTATGCAGTGGCAGATGAATCGCCAACATTATTAGCTACAATATTCATCACTCAATACTGGATTCTGGGCCTCACTGTTTAGGTCGACTTGTTTAGCTGAAGCCTAGTGGCCTAGTATCCACCCGATTAGGCACTCCATAGTGTTACATCCATGCGTTCATGCACGATCCCTAGCTAGTTAAATAGTCATCCCCCAGACTACGATTTGGTCCTGAAATACACTTCGTGTTTCGAGCTATCACTCTGGTGTTTCACCTTGTCTTTGGTTTACGCGGAATGAATACTACAGAAACTGTTGGTATTAGACTCTGCGTTAGCTTGCATTTTACCATCAGTGAATGGCAACATCTTCAGCCTCTAAACCTATTTAGAATATAATCATTTCATAATTTCTCGAATGACTTTTGGAGCATGTTTCCTTCAAGTTTTGGTTGTTTTGTTTTCTTGGCTTACCGCTGTTACCAAATATCTTGCAGTTTGCCTCAATAACTCTTCATCAGTGTTCTCGCGGGTAATTGATCTCTTAAAACACCACTCATGGAATGTGAATGGGCTATCTTCTTCTTAATGACGGTATACAGTGTGCAAAGTGGAAGTAGAAGAACTATGTGACATTTAGAAGGACTCTAACACTAATATTTTTCGAGCAGTGAGCGTTTAACGCATAACAGCTTCCAAAGCTCTGTGGTTAGAGCGCAGGAGCAGAGACAGCTGTCATATTGCTCCATTCAGATGTCCAGATGTGGAGTGAGTTGAGCGGAGCGACCAAGCAATAAAGCCAGAATCTTCCCGTCATCTCTAAGTTAAAATCTGAGATCAGTGACGCTGAATTTCATCTACAAAACTGCAGCTTACATGGGGCGGATAGTTTAGTATGAAAAGGTAGAGGGGTTGACACCTCTGTCTGACAGCAGTTTGTGTGTCAGACTTATATGGATAAGCACACTTGACCGTGGATTATGTGGAGTTATACGTTGCGGACTAAAGTGTGTAAGACAAGATATGGATTCAATCGATTATATTTTAGGCCAGGCTACGGGGCGAACAGCTTTTTCGTAGACAAATTACCAACATTTGAAGCGCCCCTGGAAACTGTTAGTAGGAATGATGACGAGGTCAACACGAGATCATAAACCTGATTTTCGAAGTAAGCCCATTTCAGTCAGCTGTGGGGAGTAAAGATGAAGTAATGGAAGCAGCGGATTGCCATATTGGGGTATTCATCCAGGGATCGTCCCTGCAGGTAACACTAGCACCCCTTACATAACCAGAAAATAGTATAGATATAGTTCGTTCTAGCACAAACATCTTACGAAGGGGTAGAAGCACGGGTGCCAATTTGGCATTTTCATAGACTATAATCCTGTTTCTACCCAACCTTACCCCTAGCTGCACTAGGTAACTTGTAACATTGAAGTTACTCGCAACAAAGCGTGAAACAACGAAGTCAGATAATGTGACTGTTCTTCAGAATGTATGCATAAGTCTACGTGTTGGACTAAGTAAACTTAGGACCGGGAAGATTTGGGAAGTTCAGAATAGTACATAATAATGAGATGTTTATTATTGGTCCCTAAGGTTCTGAATGGAGCATGAGACTTCAACAGCACACCTACATCTCATCCTACTCCCTGCATTCCTTCTTAGCTGGCTCCACGACTACCAATAAACTGTCATACCCTCTTCACACGGCCGCTTCAGTTTCACTCTTAGATGCTCAACTCCGTGTTTCCCATTCAGGTCATCTCAGCGTGTGTCCGATCCATCTCTGTTTCTGAAGGTACATTCGAAGGATGACAGGTCCTCGGTTGGTTCGTCACACTGCAGAATTGCTTGTTAGCAATCCCTTCAGTATATAGTGAAGGTTAAAGTTTGTAGCGACCTGCCAGAAAGCTATTGGTGATGCTCACACCAAGCCTGTGAATAGCACAGAAGGGTAGACTTGAGATTAGTGCTGAAAATCTGAATCTTGTTCTTTGTGCTAAATGCAGTAGATTTCGAGATTGATTTTAGATTAGTAAAGGCCCTCCCTGTCTTTTCAATTCTTCAATAGAAGCCTTCATTTGTGCAGTCTCTAGTTAAAACGATGTTGCCTAGACATGTGAGAGAAGTGACTTCCTGTAAATATCTCTCAGTGATAGTGACTGATTCTTGTTGTTGGCAGTCAGGTTTTTCCATCTACGTCTTTCGATTACAATGAGGGAAATCACTAGTGATGACAGAAAGTCTTGTCTTAATCCTGTGTCCACTTCAAACTCTTCACTCAGTTTTCCGTCGCGGATCACACAGTATGTTACATAGTCACATTATATGAAGTTAAGAAAGGTTCCGTGAGATCCGGAATGCTGAAGCAGTTCCAAAATCACTTCGTAATTAACTTTTTCAAGTGCAATTTCAAAGCCGATGGTGTTGATGTACAGGTTTTGCTGCCTACATTTGCTCTTTTCTATAACGATGTTTAGAGTCTAAATTTGCCCTGCCTATGGTTTGCCTTTCCTGAATCCAGATTGTCCTGGATAAAGTCCCGAGTTTAGGGCAACTTTCAGTCTCTTCAGGATAACAAGATGTGATATTTCGCTTGATGTAGATATGGGGATGATTCTATGCCAGTTATGCGAAAGCTTAAGTCAGCTCTGGTAACTTGAAAAGGTGCCTTTAAATTCCATCAGTAGCTACCTTTCTTTCCCTCTAAACTTTCCACAATAGTTACGTGAGGATATTCGCCGAAGTCCCTGGATCTGTATAACATCGTGTGATTTATCAAAATAAAATCTTATCTATATGGGAGTGAAGAGTTTGAAGTGGACACAGGATTAAGACAAGAATTTCTGTCATCACTAGTGATTTCCCTCATTGTAATCCAAATCGACCCCAAGGAAAAAAGATACTAAACTGTTTGCAAGATTCTTTTTAAAAGGGGGAGGTAATATATACACAGGTGAATCATTAATATTCAGTATTTATTTCCCACACTAGCATAATCATTGATTTCACGCATCTGCGTGATTATTGATTTAAATTACTGAATTCCCAGGGTTTGTTAATATTTTTAAAATGTGACATCGATTTTCTTAACTGTATAAATACGGAGTTGTTGTTTAACATTTTCGACTGTTGTTAGAGACCGTAAAAGCTCTCGCATCAACGTCCAGTCTTTTTTTTCTTTGTCTTGCGTGCCCGGCGGTATTGTTGTTGTTGTCGACGTGCGATTAGGACAGATTAGCCAGCGCATTAGTTAGATTCGCTCGTAGTCTACAAGGTTCCAATATTCACGTACATAACAACGGGAGCCTCTTTGTCTTCTCATTATTACCGAGCCTAGAACTTTAGATACCGTATTTGTTAAGCTAATCCTTCTGTGATCATCACAGGAAGACTTGTCTCCCTTTTTGTTAATGTGATAATCAATGACTTACATCAGCCTGATTCCCAGACGCTGCCTAATGCCTTAGTTAACGCAGACAGTAAACTGTCTCCATCGTCCTTGAACACCTCAGTAGTCATCCCATTGGGTCCCGCAGCTTTGTCTCGTTTGAAACTAGTGACAGCTTTTGTAACCTCAGTTAGCGGCGGGGGACCTGCATGTATATCCCTTTCAGGGAGGTGTCGGATGCTGGGTAAATTGAGTGTGGCTGTAGGCCAATTAAATTTCCCCTCAAAGTGTTCTTCCCAACGTTGCAGTCGTCTATCCTGAAAGGTAATTATGTTGCCATTTCCTCGGACATTGTTTCACTTATCATTTGCCTTTTACCACCTGTTTTCCCGATAAGCCTAAATAGTTTTCTGGTGTTACCAATAGCCGATGCCTTTTCCATCTCTTCTGCTTTTGCCGCCTACCACTGTTCACGGTCGTTTTGAAGACTTCTTGTCAGTTTGCGTTTGAGCAGCTTTCACTCCTCATCATTTTCGGAGCTTGCCGAAATCAATCTTGCCTTAATCAATTCGGATGAACTAGTAGAAGTCCACTGGTTCTTACTAATTTTTGGTTTCAGGTTATTAACAGCCTTTACATCTGTGTCTACAGCTAACTGTATGTTGTTCCAGGCTTCCCAAGGATCTCAGATACTTGTTTCGCTGTTTCCTCCTTATATGGGAACTCAGTATCTCGATCCAGTTGGGGACGTAACTGCTTCGCTGCCAACAATTTTTATGTCCGTTTTGTCGTAAGCATAAACGTGCACGAACCATGGCATGATCGGAGTCTATGCATGTATTTCAGAAGGAGCGGTAGTCTTCTACTGACCCTCGCCAACAATACCCTATCGCTATGTGGTTTATTTGAGTCCAGCGTCGATTTGGTAATGGAGGTCGCCAGGTTAGCCAATGTTTCTCTTTGTGCCTAAAGTTAATGCTGACAGATGATTATCTGAACAAAACTGTAGAAGACGATCACCGTTGTTGGTTCGTCGGCAGGGAACTCAGTATGTACCACCTATATACTTCTCAGTCTGACATAACTCCCTTATTTGGGCATTGAAGTTGCTTGCTAAAACAACTATATTTGAACGTTTTGCTTTTTGCAGCAAACTATACAGTTCAGGTAGAAGTCATCCTTTAGTTCATCCAAACTGCAGTCTGTTTGAACGTAAGTGGAGACTGTGATAGGAAAATGACGAGTAACGCTGTCCTTCCTTCTTCTAACGGACCTGTTCAAACGGACCGCACACATACGACTATCTACTGGGACTTTTCCGCCCTAACACTCACTGCTATCCCTGCACCTTCGAGTCCTCGCGAACTAACTGAGGAGTCTCTTGGCACCTTTAAGATGAATTTTGAAGATCCATCTAGTTGTCCGGGTGGGATAAGCGAGTAACCACACCGGTTTTGTATGGGTGACTCCGAAACAC